GTCTGTTGTTAGATGGTAGATCATTGAAGACAATGTCGGACGGTGGCTCAATTTTGTGAAAAGGTTGAAATTAGACATTAACACCGTTGGATGTTGTTTCATTGATTTATAGTTTAAGCGCTCGCACGCGAGACTGATGGATCCTGGATTCGAATTTTTTTGAGGCTGGATCGTAGATGCGTACTGCTGAAGAGTCCCGCAATAGGACGAAACGGCCGTACACTTCTTCCAGGTTTTCCATGGTAGTCTAGCTTCAATTGACTCATGATTTCAACCATAAAAAAAGGTTGTGTGAATGTTTATTATGTTTATACTTAATGTAGTATGCAAAATTAGTGCACTTTTACATTAAAAAAAAAAATTAATTGGAAGGATATAGATGGTATATGTGTCTATTCACCTTTTCATTAATGAAGGGGGGTCGAACAAGAATAAATTATCGAAAATATAAGGTGTTATTTGTTTAGACATGACAATTCTTTAGTGAGTTTCTTTTTTGTTCACCGAAACAGTTTGGATTTCAGTGAACAAGAAGCTCAAAACCGATTGTCTAAAGCTATTTACATCTGCAAATGTTTTATTCATTAAGCTTTATATAACTAATTATTTGATAAATTCATTCATATATTGTACTGAACTTTGTTGTTTAAGGTAATATGATTACAAATTTTAGGCAAATGTGAATTAAGGTATATCGAGGCAATACGCACAGTATGCACATATGCCAATTAGAGACTGACCAGTTGCAGTCCTAAACACATCGATGGGAAGATCCAAACAAACAATACTAAGTGAATTCAAATGTACCTAGTTGAAGTTTTGTTTTAAGCTAATCTAGATATGATTACACTATATGCAAGAAATAATATCATACAAATAATGACAATCAAACATCAATCACTATAGGAATACAAGAATTAACTGATACAACACTTGTGTCACAACTTTAAAAGCTCACTATTATGTTAATTATTAAGTGTTGGTAATGTTTTCCATAATGACAATGATAACTCCATGACTAGACCATTTAGATCTAGAAACATAATGTAGTATCAGTTTATATGTTAAGCCCATATACTTTATTCTAGTTGCTGGCCAAGCCAATTCGCCTATCCATTATGAGTCATATTTTGATCTTGTTAATTATTCGCTTATTGACCTTAAATATACTTTTATATGAGCGTAATTGTGTGTACCCTTCGTATTCTATTCATCATATGTCTGTCATTCATTTTTGTCTGGTTATAAATATTGAGTAATGCTTGCTTATAGCGAGTTGGCTTCCCAGCCATCTCCACTACGCATCATTTTTGCTTTGCTCTCGAGTTGGCTTCCAAGCCATCTCCAATATGCATCATCTTTCGCCTCGCTCTCTCGCTTGCCGTTCACTCGCTCATTCATATTCGCTCAGGTGTTGTTAGCTTTCGAACCTGAGTTATTCGACAATAAACTATAGTTGCTGCTATCGTTTGTCTACTGATTTTACGCGCCGTTAAGTTTAGAATTATAACGGTTATCGAACTAAACGATTAACGAATCGCGGCACTACAATTACACCACTAAAAGTAGACAAAATTTCTACCCTAGTTACAAACAATGAGGATTACTCGAATAATAAAATATTGTAAAACATTTATTTTGTTAGAATAAAAAGAAGTTTTATGAAGTTGTACAACATTGTTATCCACTTGTCATTCCTTGGTACTAAACTCTAAATTTGTAAATCAGTAATCCCAGACAGGTGGTATGATAACGTTTAGAAGAGGTGTTTTGACAATGCTGACAATGATACAGGCCAGAAAAAATTTACTTTTTGCATTTAATAGTGGACTGTTTGATAATTATCTTTTAACCACATTCTAAAGGCAAAAATCCAATTGGATACTGATGTTGCTTAGTCACTTTTAAATAATATGATGGAATCAAATTTTAAAATAACTGAAATCGTACTAACCATACTGGATTGACAACATTTAATTAAAAACTTACAATGACAACAAACGAAATCATTTTTTTAAAGTTAATGGTCTTTGATACAGAGTTAAATTTAGATGTAGTAACGAAGAGGTTTTCTCTGACTGACTTATTCATGACTGTTCAGGAACAATCCTCAATGTCTCATACTTACAAACATCCAAGTCACTAAACTAGTGACTTTCATATTTCTTTAGAAGTACATTGTCTTTTGACCACTTAGTTGATTTCCAATATTTCAGTCGGTTTGTAGTCTTGCATGATCACCATCAAAACCCATCTGTTGTGCTTGTCTAATGCATTTGTTTTTATATATAATTATTTAAGCATGTACACTTACTGTAGTGGGCAAAATAAAACTGGAGACAATCGAATGCATTTAAGCATAAATTACAAACTATCGTACTAAGATCTGATAACCATACAGCAAATAGTTAGTTTGCAAAATAACAATCAATTGTTTCAACCTTCACTGTTCCTTCTGTAAATATCAGTTCATCTTCTATAATTTCATTGTTCATGCATTTTTCTAGCAATTTCACTTCATTTCAGTTCTTTCCTTATCGGTCTTTTACCAAAATACATTTTATGTTAGACCATCCCCATATACTACTTATATGGATATAAGTAGACTACACTACATTAAGACCAATTTGAATAGTAGTTGTTTAGTCCAGATTTAAAACAAACAAATTCATTTCGAGTACATCATAGTCTTCTTCATATAGTAAACCATCGAGATTAAAATATTGAAAAAACCATATGTCGTCTATCTACGAAGTTTAATGAAAAGACTGTTTGTTTTTAACAAAACAAGGTGATATATTACCACAATACGTTTCGTGCAAACTCATTGCCCTTATCAGTTGCCCCACATTTAACAACACATACAACTAAGGCTAACTAAATATGCATCTGAATCATAGCTAGAAAATGATATAGACTTCAATGATGAGATAAAAATAGCTTTTAAATATCCACCCCTCTATATCATTAAAGATATACTCAGAATTTATTATAAGGATGATCAAAAAATAATTTTCGTAAAGGTACATAAAAGTGGTCAAGGCCAAATTGTCGGTCATATGGAAATCCAAATCTCCCTTGAGTATTGGAAATCATTTTATATTTTTATCAAACTTAATATATTAATAGTGATTATTGACTTTTTTTAATCATCCTTGAAGGGAACAGTAGTTTTTTTTAACAGAACGAGGTTGTGTGGAGATTTTAGTAATTTTATATAGTTGAGATCATGAGTCAATTGAAGCTAAACCGCCATGTAAGACCTAGTGGCACTGGAAGGCCGCTTTGTTCTATTTTGGGACTCCTCAGCAGTGCGCATCCACGATTTCGTCTCACGAGATTCAAACCCATTACCCATCAGTCTCGCGCGCGAGCACTTAACCACTAGACCACTGAGCTAGCATCCAATGGTGTTAATGTCTAACTTCAACCTTCAACGAAATTGAGAAACCATTCACCAATGTCATCAGTGAGTTCATATCTCCTAACAGGTTTAGGGTTCGAATCTTGAGAGGCGAGATCGTGGATGTGCACTGTTGCGGAGTCTCACAATAGAACGAAACAGCCGTCCAGTGCTTCTCAATTTTCCATGATGGTCTAGTTTCAATTGAATCATGATCTCAGTTTTTAACCCTTAGTGTTTTATATTCTCAGTCGTCCTATTTAGTCATGCCGTTTAAAATAGACTCTGCACTGTATAATTACATTTAATTTAGTTTTAAATCTTGAGGGTTTGTGGAAACTACTGAAGTTTACAGTTCACATAAATAATTAGCCACAGAAAGTCAGGAAAAACCGAAAACCCGTTTCAATTTACATACGAATTCACTAGAGATAGTATCTAAGATCTAAGTCCGACGACCAGCACTTAAGTTTCAGACTGGTAAGCTGGCATCCGAATGTTTACATGTCTAACTTCAACTTAATTGTTTCTATTTCAGTACTGTGAAGTAACTTAGTGATTTTGTCTTATTCATTTGATTAGTGAAAGGGTGGTTATAGAAATGTTTAAGGACTATATAAATTTCTCCTGCAGTGTCAGTAGTAGACCCATTCTATACATTATTATTTTAATGATCCCACTTGGTCATTCACTTATTACATCAAGAAACGAAACATTTTCATGAATGTTATATTCGGTCTACTTAAGAAACTACTGGAAAACACATAAAGTTTTGTAACATAAAAACCGTCTTAAGGTGATATTTTTTAAAAAGCAATGACTTATTAATGAAAAAATGCGCACTGAATGACCACTAAATTGAAACTGGTGATATGCATATATAGTCTTTAGTGCCAATCACAAGTAAACTGTAGTCTGAGTAACGCCAAATCTCATACGCCAAATTTTTGGATATCTGGCGGCTGCACCTAAGTTTTCTGTTAGCTAGTATTCATGAATAAAATGATCTATTTATAATTCAGTCATTAGTAGCGGCTACACAAATGTATATCAGGAATAATCCACAGTGAACATATCAGTGACAATGTTTCTGTCAAAAAAACTGAGTGGCATTTTTGTCAGATCATATGAGGATTGCAGATTCATCTTGCTAACAAATGTAAATTAGCACTACATCAAGTAGGTCCAGGGTTCGAATCTCGCGAGAGCGGGTCCGTGGATAAGCACTGCTGAGAAGTCCCATAATAGGACGAAACGGTCGTCCAGTGCTCCCAGGTTTTCGATGGTGGTCCAGCTTCAATTGACTCATGATTTCAACTTTGAAAAATATCAAATCAACCAGTTATATTTGACATTAAAATAAAAGTTATATTTTTCAGATCAATTATTTCCATTATTTAATTCATTAAACTAATATACTTTTCTTTTTTTCTTTCTATTCTTTCGAAAACAAAAAAAAAGAAAAAAAACAAAAAAACAAAGAGTCACATTAACAACTTTAATTGACAACTATTTATCATTATTTATTTCAAAAAGAAAAAAAATTTTTTCATTTTTCACCCTTTTTTTTCTTTTTTTTCAAATTTTTTTTGTATAGAACCAAATAAAAAAATTTGGACACATTTAAAATTTTCATCGGATGATCCTGATTTATCTTATTTATATAATAATAATAATAATAATAATAATAATAATAATAATAAAAATAATGAAAATTCATTAAATAGAATAAAAGAAATTAAAATTAATGAAAATACAAATTTAACATTATTTTGTATATTTGAAAGTGCACCAGTTGTATCAACACGTTGGTATTATAAAGATGAATTTATGGAGAATATTGAAATTAATCAAAATTTTGGTAAGCCAATTTGTTGTAACTATGTATATGGTTTGTTTTTTCTTTTTTTTTTAGATAAAAAAGAGTTCAATTCAAGTACACCTTTTGGTTTATGAATGTAGCTATGAGTTTAAGTACACTATGTTATCCCCAATGGAGCATCGGCCGCCAACCAGCATTCTTCAAACCATTCACTCTATCCTGTGTCTTCTTTACTAGTTCTATCCAAACACATCTTGGTTTATGAATGGAGCTATGTGTAGCTATGATTTTAAGTACAATTTATTGCTTACTTACTTATTTACTTGCTGACACCTGTTATTTCCAAAGGAGCATAGGTCGCTAACCAGCATTCCCCAACCCACTCTCTCCTGGGAGTTCCTTTCTAGTTCTATCCAACTTTTGTTCATTCTTCTCATGTCTGTCTCCATTTCTCGGCGTAATATGTTCTCTGGTATTCCTCTTCTCCTTTGACCTTCAGGATTCTATGTGAAGGCTTGCATTGTGACAGAGTTGAGTGATTTCCTCAATGTGTGTCTTATCCACTTCCAGAGCTTCTTCTTGATTTCTTCCTTCGTTATAATTCGGTGTTTTCTCTCCCAATATAGGTTGTTGCTGACAGTGTCTGGCCAACGGATTCGAAGTATCTTGCGTAGACAACTGTTAATAAATACCTGTATCATCTGGATGATAACTTTTCTAGTTCTCCAGTTTTCCTCCCCGTACAGTAGAACAGTCTTGACGTTTGTATTGAAAATTCTGATCTTGGTGTTGGTTGACAATTGTTTTGAGTTCCAGATGTTCTTCAGTCGTAAATATACTGCTCTTAGGTACATTATATTACATAAACATCATTAATCACAAGATGGGGGATAATCTTGAGAACAATGAAATCCTTATATTTCAACTTACGACATAAATCAATGTTCTATACAATCAGAAAAATAGGTTCTATTAAGCTATTAGATGGATTTTAAGCTAATGAATAATATAATTGAGTTTACTTCAATGAAGGTATATCAATAATTGAACTTAGTTTATTCTAAGAGCTCAGTATAATTGATTAGGTATTTCTTTTCTTGTTAGTTGGAACCTATCACACTTGTATATCTCCTATATCATAGAAACTAATAATCCACATGATTTTTGATTCTGGATCACTTAGTGCTACAGGTAAGGAATTCACTATTCAACAACCAAACTTTTTCATTGTTGCTTTGATCCAAGCTAAAATTATGACATACTAGAATTGTCGCAATAACAATTTTTATTGTGACCTTCTACATCACAGCAGAGTATTATCGTGAATCTTGCAATTTAATAACCATAGGTAATTTACACGTATTTCCATTAATCACTTTGTAAAATATTGTAAATACTCTAATGTTTACTCATGTAATTATTTTTCCTGTCTCCATATAAGCTCATATGAAAAGTTCCATCTTCTTTCCTAACTTATATAATACTTGTCAGTAGCCAAAGGATTCCCAATGCGAAACATATTTTGTCAATCAATTTATAATCGACTTTATACTCCATGATCACTGTTATTTAAATAATAACACTTCAGTTATTTTCAATACAATCAAATCGGTGTAATAATAATTGTTTTATTAGATTGCTGGACTGAATAACATATCACATTAATTATGGTTCTATATTACAAAAGAGGGATTATAACCTGAATCTTGAGATATGTGGAAGTATCTCTTGAAGTTAGTCACTAGTGAGCATATGAATATAGATCAGAAGTATCAGAAAGTAAATTACTGTCCAGTTTTTAGTGCACTCCATTTAAAGTATAAACATTTGTGTATAGAAAGTTTATTCAGTCCATCTTTTTAAAATGTTGCTAGGTGAAATTATAAATCTTATGACATTCTCATTAAATTTTACGAAACAGCTCCAGCAGCAATTAAATGCTGTAATCAATTATCAACGATTAAAAGAATATATATTTATAATTGAGAGAGTTTAACCTTCTATGAAGCAAAACAGTTGTCAGTAATCCATTAGATCATCACATGATATATTGTAAACTGATTGAAACTTAACCAACGAAGACTATCCCAATAGTCTAAATGGTCGAGTTTTCTTCATAAAATCTCAAAGTTCTGAATTCAATTACTGATTTAATCGTCCATGTACTTTGCTATACAGTCATGTATTCAGACGAAATGACTATCTAGAGTTTTCTAATTTTCAATGGTACCTCAAACGAGATGAATATATATGATGAATATGACCTAGGTTCTTACTAACATATTAAACTTAAGATATGTGATAAGCATAAAGTTCTAGTGATATAATCAAACTGATAATGAGACATGAACTTTAACAAAGTCTAAATCAAAGTACGTTAGATACTAGATTTTTTTTTATTTTTAAACAAAAAACCCCATTTCTCCATGTACTTGTCAATGAACTCTACAATATTATAATAAGATAGTATTCATAAATTGTTTATATAAATATCGAATAAAAATGGAGATAACAACAATAGTCAATAGAAGTTATCTAGATGGATGAAAGTCAACATTACAGTGTATGCAAGATTTGCATCCTTGTAAACAAACATTGTCAGTCGTTTGCTTTTACGGGGATGAGGGATGATTGAAAAATCCATAAAAAGGTTAGATAGATTTAGGGTAATGTATCTATCAAAATTTAGTACATTCCATAATAGTGAAATTATAGTTATATTGTTATTGACGTCATGAATGAAACAAAAAGAAAATTATATTCAAACAAGAGATAGGTTTTAAGCAAAGATGCATATTGGATAGGAGTGGAATCGAGGACACGCGTTTCGTCCTATTTGGGACTCATCAGCTGGATACAGACAAACAATACTAAGTGAAGAAATAGGTTATTAGATTCCCAGTAATATACTGACAAGTAGTCAGACTATTAGTTTATATAAGCAGTTTTTGTATTATGAATAAAATGTGAATAGATTATATCATTTTTAGGTTGAAATTGAATGTTATGATATTGAAAATCAAAGGATATAAAATATTTGTTTACTTAATACCACGATACTCCTCAACCGTATACATCAACAGCACTCCTATAGATCGATCACAGTACCTTCAGGAATGGGGGAGGAGGGGAAAAGCTCAAATTTGTATACTACTGATTTAAAATTAAGCTGTCCGAATTTCTTATTTCTTGTAATGATTTATATTAGAAGAACGTAATCCAATCCTATTGATGATATCTGTCTCACTACCGATATACTTAGACTCTATTACTGCAAGTAAGAACCTAAGGAGTGATTCTTGAAGCAAGAAACTCGTAGAGTCTAGTTTGGATTAAATAAGAAACTGGCAAACTGCAAATGTTAGGATGGGTAAATCGGATAATTATGAACTTTTTAGAAGTGTATACTAGTGACCTCATTGTACTTGATCTAAAGCAATAAGGTTTTTTAATGAAAAAGGTATATCTGAATCAGTTAATGTCTATTCGTGAAGAAATCTACATGTATCAATATATCCTCGTAACTACCTGTTGAATGTTTAACTCAGAATAGTTATAACTTGATTAAGACCTCAATACCAAAATTTAGTGCATATACACGTTCATATGTGACTACGAAAATGAAGAAAACACTTAAAATAGACAGTTCGCAATAAACAATCAACAATATAATTAAAATGGATGATGGCCGCGGAACATCGTGAATCCATCGAGATCAACTTATTCACAATTTAATTTCATATGAGTCATAATTGATAGGAATTTTCAATTAACAAAGTGCAAAACGTTAGCAGGAATAAATTCTATGCTGACGTTATACGTAGGGTATTGCATAGCCCAATAAATTTGTTAATATAATGATCACATTTTATCTACTGAAGTAGTCGACAAATGTAAAACTAACAATCTGTTCCTCAACTTGTAGTAGATGGATAAATATATGGGTTGTGTGAAAGAAGATTCAGCTCAGCATAGTCAAAATTAAGCATTAGTTAATGAAGTGAATGATTGTTATACTGAGCCATATGGCGAGATGAGGATTTTAAGTTCCGGATGTATCAGTTAATTTTTTTTTTACCTTTGTTTGATAATAATAAATAAAATAGTCTAACATCTGTCTCATTCAAGTTTTCTATCTTTTTCCATATTTTCAGCCTTGTATTGTACGTAATTTGTATATTGATTCCGCTATTTACTCAAACTCCATTCATCACAGTTAATCTCTAACTATCAATATAACCAGTAAACTTTACTTCTCTTTCTTATTTCGCTCATGTAAAAGTATACAACTTCAGTTGTGAAAAACTTCAGCTTTCTAGATAGGGTATAACGACTGACCAAGTACAATATAATTACTCTCCATTACAATTTCGGTAAATTATTCAAACCATTTCCGTGTTTATCTTATTCTAGGTGTATTGATCATTAAATATGCTAGACCGAAAAATGAAGGTATTTACACATGTTCAGTGGATAATTCTCATTCAAAGCTTATTGGAAAATCTTTTCGTATTATAGTAATAAGTAAGTCAAAATTTAATCATTTTAAATAAACCATACGATTCATTTAACTTAAGCTTATATGATTTGATAACTGATACACAGACCTGAAATATAAACTTTAATCTTCCAGAAAATTATTTGACATGTGGATACGGATAATTTTTCTTATATCGTATAGCCGAGTGCCCTGTTAATAAATGACGTGACGATGCCGCCAATTAGAGAGCAGTGATTTATTGATCGAACCAATGATATATGAAACCCGTACGAGCAGTCTAGAGCACTAAGCGGTCCTTCATTCTGCCTAGCCCAACCAGTTAAGTCCAGAACTCCAATAAAAGCCTCTGCAATGTGAAACATTATATTTCAAACATACTGAGTTTTTATACCAATCAAACATACCAAATCGTAGCATAAAAATAAACCATAACAATTGTACAAGCTTTAGGTAAATGTGGCTGTGAATGATGAAGATAGTAAATAATAGATTGGAGATAACTAAAGAACGGTAAATCGTACAGTAATAGTCTAATGGTCAAAATAAAGCTTATAATAAAGGGAACAGGAATAAGATTAGTTAAGTTACTTATCAATTATACAAATATACGTATCATATTGGTCCATAAATAGTTGTCAAAAGTTACCATTCATAATTCTCCACTAGATATAACAACTTTTAACTGATTTTATTGGACATCTATTTGTTATAGTGAATCATATTCCTGTGATCATCATATTTCACACACATTTTGGTGTAGTCATACACACGATAATTAATTAACAACCAACGATTGTATCGAACGACTTCGTCTTTGTAAAGTTTGTGTCGATATTATAAAACTGGCGAAAGTTTCCATGAGAAAAGCTGGTAATACATAGTTTCAGCAATGTTTTAATTCCCTTCTTGTTGTAAGTCATATATATTTATACAAACGTCAAGAAAGTACTACTACATGGAGCTGAAACTTGGAGAACCACTACAACCATCGTTAAAATGGCACAAATAATTATAAACGATTGTCTGCGTAAGGTACTGAATATCCGTTAGCCAAATTCCAGCCAAATAGGAAATTAGGAAAATACGTTTGAAATTATCAACACGAACTTCGACCCCAAGTTCAGAAGAACAATGGAAGCTCCACGATCAAAACATCCACCTCAAAGAACTAAACTCCATCAAAATTTAATGAATTTTAAAAATAGTCATTTATTTTTCATAATCACACTATAAATACATGAATATCAAAGTCAGTTGTTAGGAAAATTGTCATTTTTTTAAAATGTCATTTCTATTACTGATTTAAGTAGTAGTTTGTGTAATAACATATGATACTATATATAGCATATGATACATTTCAACTATTGATAATGTAATAAAAGAAATGGTAAGCAGAGATGGATAGTGGCTAGCAGTGGAATCCAGGACGCGCGTTTCGTCCTATTTGGGACTCGTCAGCTGGATGTACCTGCATCTCAGAGTTGATGTTCACTCTGGGACTCGAACCCAGTACCCTCGCTTCAAACGCCATCGCGTTATCCACTCGGCCACTGAGTACTGATAACCACTTGCTTGTGCGATGGGGTGAAGTTTGAATTCACTTAGTATTGTTTGTTTGGATCTTCCCATCGATGTGTTTAGGACTGCAACTGGTCAGTCTCTAATTGGCATATGTGCATACTGTGCGTATTGCGTATTACCATGCTTGTGTATTAAGGTTTATCGAGGCAATACGCATACATACACAAACAAACAAACAAATATATATAGTTGAAATGATGATTCAATTGAAGCTAGACCACCAAGGAAAACCTGGAAGCACTGGACGGCCGTTTCGTCCTATTGTGAACCCTTCAGCAGCGCACATTCACGATCCCGCACTTGCGAGATTCGAACTCAGGAACTAACAGTCTCACACCAGATCACTTAACCGATGGACCACTGAGTCGGCCGGCATCCAATGATGTTAATGTTTAAATTCAACCAATCCACGATTTTGAGCAACCGTTCACCAATTGTCTTCAGTGAGTTGATATCTCTCAACAGACCTGGTTGAAATCCACTGTTCACTGCTTCTCACTAGATCTCCAGGAATTACCTCATGAAGCCAGCCACTAGAGAGCATATTATTACAGATCAGAAGGGGTTTTTGTGGAGAATTTAGTATTTTCACAATTGAAATCATGATTCAATTGAAGCTAGGCCACCATGGAAACCTGAAAGCATTGGACGGCTATTTCGTCCTATTGTGGGACTCCTTAGCAGCGCGAAGATCTATTTGAAAACACTTCCTATCACTTAAAAATAATTGTGTTTATTCAAGATGGGAACAGTTTTAATTTAACTGGACTAGTTCAAACTAAAAAAATCAGCTTGAATGAACGCTGTGTTTATAGCAATTTGTCAAAAAAAGCAACCTGATCTACAGTATTTTATATAATAGAAGCAGTTACTTTGTGGATTGGAATTGACTGAAGTTTTCTATCTCAAAAGATGAATTCTACTTTTTTTATCTAATCTAGGATGACTTTAAGATCATTTGGGTTATAATTTCCTAAAATGTCAGATAACATAATTTGGCTAATGTACATATGTCATTATTTTCTGATATGATTCAAGTGTAGTTTATGTTATGTTATGCTTACGCAATATACATTATTCCGTTTCTATAAATATCATATCATGAGTTAAGTAATTTCTTCTTCGGCATTAGGTGTCTTTATGAGTAATACATACATATAATGTATTGTTTGTTTGAATCTGCCTGTTGATGTTTAGAATTGCAGTTGATCAATCCCTGGTTGCCATATATGCATCCTGTGCGAACTCAGTAGCTAAATGGATAATGAGATGGCGTTTAAAGTGAATGGTACTGCGTTTGAAACCCCCTGGATAAAGGTATATCCGGCTGACGAGTCCCAAGTGGGACGAAACGCTAGTTCTGGATTCCATTTCTAGCCACTATCCATCTTTGCTTATAATACACAAATTGCTTTTACCCAGACGCTATTTGTATTGATCCTTGTTTTAAATGAAACATTTCTCTTTAATTTATAGCCTGACCTATTAAGATATACTAAAAAAAATCAATTCAGTATTCACAAATGCCAACAACAATTTTATTTTACAAATAATCTTAAGTTTGTATTCTATAATTTAAAAGAGGTATCCACTTTGAAGTTAGATATTGATATTTTTCCAATCTAATCTGAAAGCATTACCTACAGAATCTGATAAGAATTCATGACAAAGAATATTCTTCATTCATTACTTACTTACTTACTTACGCCTGTTACCCCTCGTCGAGAAGCATAGGCCGCTCACCAGCATTCTCCATTCAACTCTGTCCTGAGCCTTCCTTTCCAGTTACTTTTCAGCCTTTTCATATCGGCTTCTATTTCCCGGCGTAGTGTGTTCTTTGGCCTTCCTCTTTTCCGCTTCCCTTCCGGATTCCAAGTTAGGGATTGAGTCGTGATGCACATTGGTGATTTCCTTAATGTATGTCCGATCCACTTCCAACGTCTTTTCCTTATTTCCTCTTCAGCTGGAAGCTGGTTTGTCCTCTCCCATAAAACGCTGTTGCTGATAGTATCCGGCCAATGGATGTTGAGTATTTTGCGTAGACAACTGTTTATAAATACTTGTACCTTCCTGATGATGGCCGTAGTAGTTCTCCACGTTTCAGCTCCATACAGTAGGACTGTCTTGACGTTCGTATTAAAGATTCTGACCTTGAAATTAGTTGAGAGTTGTTTTGAGTTCCATATGTTCTGCAATTGTAGAAATGCTGCCCTTGCTTTGCCAATCCTCGCCTTTACATCTGCATCCGATCCTCCTTGTTTATCAACGATGCTCCCCAGGTACTTGAATGTTTCCACCTCTTCCAGAGTTTCGCCGTCAAGTGTGATTGGGTTGGTGTTCTCCGTGTTGCATTTGAGAATCTTGCTTTTTCCTTTGTGAATGTGGAGGTCTATCGATGCGGAGGCTGTTGCTACATTTGCTGTCTTCATCTGCATTTGGTCGTGTGTATGAGAGAGGAGGGCTAGGTCATCTGCGAAGTCCAAATCATCTAATTGATTCTGAGAGGTCCATTGTATTCCGTATTTCCCTTCACATGTCGAATTCTTCATAATCCAGTCAATCACTAGAAGGAAGAGGAATGGGGAGAGTAGACAGCCTTGTCTGACTCCGGTCCTTACTGGAAATGCATCTGTCAGCTGTCCTCCATGCACCACTTTGCACTGTAATCCATCGTATGAGTTTTGGATAATGTTGACGATCTTCTGAGGAACTCCATAGTGTCGAAGAAGTTTCCACAATGTTCTCCTATCCACGCTGTCAAACGCCTTCTCATAGTCGATGAAGTTGACGTATAGTGATGAGTTCCACTCAACTGATTGTTCAACGATGATCCGTAGTGTCGCAATCTGGTCTGTGCACGACCGATCCTTACGGAATCCAGCCTGATGATCCCTAAGTTCGGCGTCTACTGCTTCTTTGATCCCTTTCCAATTGTCCTCCAAATTAGTTTCTTGTTCTTTCAGTAGATCCTGTAGAGCTTGGAACCTATTGTTGAGAGTTATCTTGAATTCTTGGAGCTTGTCAGCATCTCGAAGGAAGGCTGTATTAAACCTTTGTAGTGCTGTTTGTCCAGTTGTCCAGTGTTTCTTTAGCTTCAGTCTCATCTTGGCCACAACCAGGTGGTGATCTGAAGCTATGTCAGCTCCTCTCCGGGTTCTTACATATTCCATTGATCTTCGGAATTTTTTGTTGATACAGATGTGATCAATCTGGTTCTCTGTGGTATGGTCCGGTGAGATCCATGTAGCTTTGTGTATGCGTTTGTGTGGGAATATTGTGCCGCCTATAACCAATTTGTTGAAAGCACATAGGTTTGCAAGTCTCTCCCCATTTTCATTTGTTTCTCCTAGTCCGTGTCGTCCGATTATATCTTCATATCCTGTGTTGTCCACTCCAACTTTAGCATTTAGATCTCCCATCAGGATGGTGAGGTCCTTACTTGAGCACTTTGCTACAATTGATTACAGCCTTTCATAGAACTGATCTTTATCATCGTCGTTGCTATCATTGGTGGGTGCATAACATTGGATAACGTTCATTGTGATCCCTTGCTTCTTTGTTCTGAATGATGCTTTGATTATCCTGGGTCCATGAGATTCCCATCCCACAAGTGCATTTCTTGCTTCTTTGGACAGCATTAGAGCAACTCCCTGAGTGTGTGGAGCATTTTCCCCTTCGTGGCCGGAGTACAGCAGCATCTCTCCTGTACCTAGCCTTTGTTGTCCAGTTTGTGTCCAATGGGTTTCGCTGATTCCGAGTACTGCCAAGTTGTATCTCCTCATTTCCATTGCTATTTGGCTGGTCTTTCCTGTCTCCCACATTGTCCGGACGTTTCATGTACCTATAAAGAGTGTTGCTCTGGTTGTTAGAAGGTGCATCGGTCTCGTGACTTCCGAAAAATTTCGGCTTTCATCATGAGACGTCATTATTCCTTCAACTCCCAGAGCAGAGTTTAAATCGTTTGAATTATTTTTTCTGGTTAGCGTTTTTTTAGCGAGTTAGCTTTTCTACGCGATGGGGTCGCTAACCCCATGCCCAACCCTCCTCCTTTACCCGGGCTTGGGACCGGCAGTAACTCTAGAAGAGCTACAGGCGGAGTTATTCATTCATTACTAATTAATTAATAACTAACAAAGTTTACACACAAGAGATATACTGTAACTAGACAACCACTGAAAACCCACAGAATTCTGAACAGCTTTTTTTCCATCCTTCTTTGGTAATGCTAATCCAGGACACAATGAAAAACAAAACTCAGGACCTCTAGGCCACTAAGCATGTTTAATAATGTATATTTGATATGTAGTATCCCATAACTTGCTTCAGTCTTGAATCATCCTAAATATTGACATAGTATCAATTATTTTGAATATATCTATTAGTTTTACTAAAGTTTATTAAAATTAGTTTCACATAAGTTATGAATGATGTACTGCAACACTCTAAAATTTCATCTCAATTTTATTCCCATACACTAGTTACAATAAATATTCTAGATTTTTAACAAATGTTAACTACTTAAACATTCCCATCAAGTATTACAAAGTGTTAGAAACTTACCCCTCATGGAGGAGCATAGGCCACTCACAAGCATTCTTCGTTGAACTCTGTTTTGGACACTTCTTTCCAGCAAAGTTCAATAGCATATAATTTTCTTGCGTTGTTCCTTTTTACTATATAGACTTGGATTAGTTTTCATTTGGTTATTTATTCTCTGAAGAAATGGCTTAAACTGAGTCACGAAACGTCAGAAAATCTAATCTTTCTACTCATTGAGATATCACAAATTATTTTATTTATATTGTTGATGATGGTTGAAGTAGTTCTCCAAGTTTCAACTCCGTGTAATAAAGGTGTCTTGATGTTCGTATTGAAGATTTTAACTATGCTGTTGACTGACAAGTGTTTTGAGTTCTATATGTTCTATGTCAATCCTCGCCTTTACATCTGCATCAGATTCTCCTTGTTTATCAACGATGATTCCCAGGTGCGTAAATGTTTGCACCTCTTCAAGAGCTTCGCCATCAAGTGTGATTGCGTTGGTGTTCTATGTGATGTATTTGAGGATCTTGCTTTTCTCCTTATGTATGTTGAGGACTACTGGTACAGAGCCTGCTGCTACACTAGTTGTCTTCATCTGCATTTTTTTGGTGGGTGTGGTACAGAAGGTCGATGTCATCTATGAAGTCCAAATCTGACTGATTCTGAGATATCCACTGTATTCAGTGTTTTCTCTCAAATGTGGAGGTCTTCATAATCTAATCCGGTCCTCACTTAGAATGCATTTGTCAGCTGTCATCCATGCACAACTTTGCACTGTGATCCGTCTTATGAATTCGCATGATGTTGATGATTTTCTTAGGTACTCCATTGTGTCGAAGAAAGTTGCATGATGTTCTCCTATCCACATCAAATGTTTTCTCATAATCGAGGACGTTGATACATTGTGACGAGTTTCATTAAATTGAATGTTCAACTATAATCTGTAATGCCTATAACTCTTCTAAATCTATTACCGGCTCCAAGCCTAGGTAAAGGAGAAGGATTGATCACAGTGTCGACAACTCTATCTCACAGAATACAATCTTGCTTTAAAAAAACACTGATCATTTTAAAATTGACACTGTTAAATAGTTTAACATATATAATTTACAAACAATCTCGAAATCTACGTGTTAAACGTATATTATTCGAAGGGGGTTTTGTGGAAATTTCGGTAATTTTATAGTTGAAATCATAAGTCAATTGAAGCTAGACCACCATGAAAACCTGCAAGCACTAGATGGTTGTTTCGTCCTATTGTGGGACTCCTCAGCAGTGCTCATCCATAATCCCGCCTGATGAGATTCGAACCCAGGACATACCGGTCTCGCTCGCGAACGCTCAACGTCTAGAACCACTGAGCTGGCACTCAACGGTGTTAATGTCTAACTTCAAATAATAAACGAAATTGAGCTTCACATCCACCAATGTCTTCAGTAGGTTACCAACTCACAACAGACCCTGTTGAACTTCACTGGTCACTGCTTCTCACTAGAACTTCAGGAAATACCTCTTGAAGCCAGTCATTTTCTCTAAATTAACAATAATCTCAATAAATACTTCTCCAGTAATGTGAATACATCTATTTTATTAATTATCTTTTTCCCTAAACAGTAAATATGCTTATCTTTTTCTTTATATAAGTAGTATATCAATGTCTTATTATTGTTTTATTATAAGGGACCCCAACAACCAGTTTATTAAATCCAAAACTGATTACTACTGAAATCGGTAAACAAGTTACATTAAATTGTAATAATAATAATAATAATAATAATAATAATAATAATAATAATGTAATGAATATGAATCAAATACCATTTCCAAAGTTACCAACACCTGATGAATGGAATAAATGGGATTATAATAAAAGAATTAATCATTCCAGATATTATATTGAAAAACAATATAAGAAGAAGAAGAAATTAAACTATTCAACATATATTAGTCAATGGATTCATAATGGACAATTTATTACAATGAATGATGATGATAATTATCATTTTGAAGGTAAGTTATTTCTATATATAGTTGAAATCATGGATCAATTGAAGCTAGAACACTATGGAAAACCTGGAACCACTGTACGGCCGTTTCGTCCTATTGTGGGATTCCTCAGCAGTCCGCACTCACGATTCCGTCTCGCGGGATTCGAACCCAGGACCTATCAATATCGCACCAGAGCACTTGACCGATAGCCCACTGAGCCGGCATCCGACGGTATTAATTTCTAATTTTTAACCAATCCACGAAGTTATTTGTTAATGGATTTTATGTGTTACAACTAAAGGTGGTCTGCTTGAATATCTGGGCTACCTATTCCTCCTATCTAGATATTTCAACAAGTTATCTAATTTTATTTGTTTTAATACATCATTGTGGCTATTAAACGCATAACCTATACAGGTGCGTTTCTGAAAAGTGTATAAATTTACAAGTTACAAAGGCCCAATAAGAGATATCGTGTTTGCTGGCAATATGCAGCGAAAAGAACGTACATAATGCAGTCAATGATCGGAACTTAAACTTCCTAGAGTAAGCGTAAACTCATTGCTTCATTTAAAAAACCCTATTATCACAGCTTATCAACACTACCAATAAATATAATCTATATATTTTGTAGCCCTCAAATACTCTGATACGGCCGAGAGTGAAAAGAGTCCACTCTCCCTCTCAAAATGCTAGCTTCGAAAAATAGCTTCTGCCACGAAAGTCCTACTATCTGCTGGGGTTTGGTTACGAATGTCTGGCGCTTTAACCGGGTTGGTGAACACGGAAAGTTTACCCAGGAAAGTTGGAAAACTCTGATTCCAAATCAATGGTGCACATGGGCTCCAGTATCCTGAGGAAACAAATTGCTCATGAATCAATCGTTGGTCACCGGCTACCATGGGATTGTATCTCATAAACTTGCTCCACTGAGGTGTGGATCAGAGCTTTAGGTCAAAGGCTCCGGGTTTGGCCCCCTAATGAAACTGTAGTATCTGTTTATATGTTAAGCTCATATACTTTATGCTAGCTACTGGCCAAGCCAATTCGCCGATCCATTATGAGTCATATTTTGATCTTGTTAATTATTAGCTTATTAACATTGACTACCACTTTATATGAGCGTATAAGTATGCACACTTCGTATCTTATTCATAATATATATGTCATTTTTTGTCTGACTATAAATGTGGATTAACGCTTGCATAAAATGAGTTGGCTTCCCCGCCATCTCCAATACGCGTCATATATGCTTCGCTCGCTATCATTTGCTCATATGCTGACAACTTTCTGGTCTGCATCATTTATCAATAAAGATGTAGTTGCCGCTTCCCTTTGCCTTCTGATATTATGCACCGTTAAGACTTGTATTGTTATTGAGGTGAACTATGAACGAAGCACGGCACTACAAAACCACCTGCTTCGGTCTGGATGCCCTCACACAAATCAAATGAGATTTGTGTGGCGCATATGTATTTGGTGCCCATTTGTACCAATATTTATGTGTTTAAGTAAATAAATAAACATTATGCGCATAAAAAAAGCTTTTGTAATGAAGAAGGTAATAAAATGGTATCGCTTTTAATTTGAACTTTGAACTCCCTTAGTATTTCAATATACGTGGAAAAAGTATGGCGATATGAAATATGAAATTCAACATTTTTCAATAATCCCGTAAAGTGATAATAATCATGTGCTCATTAGTGAATTATTTAAAAAAATGTTTCCTGTAAAGATAAATATTGTAGTTAACGGAACACCATTTGGTGACAGTCGATTGTATTTAGACACAAATTACAGACTATATCACTAAATTCTAATAATCATACAGCAAACAGTCAATTTGCAAAATAACAATCAATTGTCTCAATCTTCACCGTTCCTTCTGTAAATATCAGTTCATCTTCTCTAATTTCATGCATTTTCCTACCAATTGCACTTCATTCCAGTTCTTTCCTCATCGGTCTTCAGCCAAAATACATTCTATGTCTGAACATCGATATATACTACTTATATGGATATAAGTAGACCATACTACAATATGAGTAATCTCTACATACCCTCTATGGTATTAGAGATTTCTGTTTGTGAATTCATCTAATCATGAGATGCTTATAAAGTAGTCGACATAATATTGCCATAAAAAATAGACTTTTTTTTCAATTTTCATAATCGAAATCATGTGTCAATTGAATCTAGACCACTAGGGAAAACCTGGAATCATTGGACGGCCGTTTCGTCCTATTATAAGACTCCTCAACAGTGCGCATCCACGATCCCGCACTCACAAGATTCGAAACCAGGACCTACCAGTCCCGCGCCATAGCCCTTAACAGATAGACCATTGATTTTCAATTTAGCATTTTATTCACAATCTTTTTATCATAATTTTCTTTTGTGTAATTAGATGGATTATTGAAAATACTAAAAATTGAAAAATCACATACTGGTATCTATCAGTATATGAAAAGTAACCAATATACTAACAGTATGGATGACAATAATAATGAAAATGAATACGATGAAGAATCAATCAACTGTAAATTTTATATTCAATTAAAGGATGAAAAGTTTGTTCATAACGGTAATGATTTGCTAATAATGTTCATTCCTTTATGCAGATATATATACTACTTATATGCATACTATATATATACATAGACTATTTAACATGATATTATTAATGTATCATATTAAGTAGTATATATTATACGAAACACAAATATTATAACAGTTGTTTCATATCTTTGTTATATATGTACTGCTAAATTGAAAAATAATGCAATAATTGATATACACTTTTATTATTTAAGTAACAATATAGTTTATTAACAACTGTTTCAATGTTCATTATTGTATCCTTTCCCAACATTACAGATTACTAATTAATGAATGAACAAATGTTATCAAAAATTTCAACGTATATGTATATAAGCAAAGATGGATAGTGGATAGCGGTGGAATCCAGTTTGACGCGCGTTTCGTCCTATTTGGGACTCGTCAGCTGGATGTGTCTGCATTTCGGTGTTGATGTTCACTCTGGGACTCAAACCCAGTACCTTTCTCTTCAAACACCATCGCTTCATCCATTCACCTACTGAGTCCTGGATTCCACTGCAAGCCACTATCCATCTTTGTTTACAATCCTTGTGAATTAAGGCTATATCGAGGCAATACGCACAGTATGAATATATGTCAATTGGAGACTGAGCAGTTGCAGTCCTAACACATCGATGGGAAGATTCAAACAAACAATACTAAGAGTATATATAATATTGAAAGTAATTAGTAATATAGCAATAAAGAGGCTTTCATGATCGACTAATAACCAGGTCATAGTCAATGAAATCAGTTTTCGTTAAGTAACGAATAAAAATAGACTTAGAGTAGCGTTTAGAGTTTGATCGTTGCAAATGCGTTGCTTTTTATTCAAAAAAGTATTCTTCATATGAAATTTCATACTATCGAAGATTATTATTTTATATCATCAATTATCAATGTATTTCAATTCGTGATCTTATACTTTCTCATTTACTTATTTTATACCTTAATAGGTTAGATATAACCTGAATTTATCAAATCAAAAAAGTGTATAACACTAACAAAGAACAATGGTATTTCCCCAACAACTTACATCGATCTTCAGTTAGCAACCGGAACACGAAACTTTTGTTTAATAATTTATCTTAAATAACAATAGTACATAAAAAAACTGATAAATTTCGGTATAAAAATAACATCAATTAGGAACTCTCGTAGCTCCCTAGTGAGCATTCTATAAACCACCAAACTGGCGTCCAAGGGTGTTAATGTCTAACATCAACCAAGCGACGAAATTGAGCAACCGTTGGATGCCGGTCAGCTCAGTGATCTAGAGGTTAAGCGTTCGCGCGCGAGACTGACGGGTACTGGGTTGCGCACTTCTGAGAAGTCACACAATAAAACTAAACGGCCGTCAGTGTTTCCAGGTTTTTCATGGTGGTCTGGCTTCAATTGATTCATGATTTCAACTACAAAAATTATTAAAATCTCCACAAAACCCTCTTCTGATAACATTCTGTAAACGTTTAGACATCAAACTAATTAAGTTAGTTTACATTTCAATAATAAAACAGTTTGAAATTGTAAGCTACTCTCCAAAAATGCTTAAGTACATCGAGTGAACCATTCATCCATTAGAAATACGCGATAATGATGATTTGGCTAACGAATAATTGTGAATTATTCTGTAAATCTGTTTATACACTGAGCTTACTAACGCTATATGTAAATGAATCCTAACTGGATTGTTGAATGAGTCTTATAAACATCCTTCAACAAGTCCTTAGAGGCCCAGAAATGCCCAGGAACTTTGTATCCAATCAGCGTTGAGCAGAATCGATACAGATGCATCTAAAATATGTAGAATCACGTGTCACAGTTTTAATTGGATATTTATATATACTGCTACTATATTAGTATCATTGCAGAAATATCCGGATTTCCAAGGTTAGATGTAGTCCTATAAATACCTCTGTAAATGGACGAACCTTAGAGCAAAGCTTTTATTTGCATTTCGCACATTTTCTTTAGTGCTCCCATAGACTTGTAGAAGTAGTCAGGGATATCAGAACCGCCTAAGAAGACGGTTTAGGTATATCAGTAGCAATGTTTATAATATATCATCTCAACTGCGAACATTCTTAAGGGATCGGAGAAAGTATTTACTATGCAATTTATTAATAGATTTAGTATGCATACTAAATTAATCTATTTAGTACTATTTTGGCTACAGAATACACGACCTTAAAATCAGCATTCTTTTCTTTGCTATTTGTTAAAACGTCATTTTGGTCTGAAAATGAGGAATATGTTTCAAACATAAGTAGATATCCATTTAACTGGTCAGAGATCTTTTGTTGAACCATTTATCAATAGTCTCATTTGACTCTCCTTAGTAAATATTGAAGAGAAAGCAACTAAAAGTAATGAATTCATTATATTCGGCAATTAGTATCAGTCTTGCTTTGTTGAGATTGTGAATAGTTTGTGAATTTGTGCTACGAATCCTTCGAGATTTCCTTTCATAACAAGGATTCACACAAAATATATGTACCATATAGATATTTCGGTACACAATATTTAACTCATTGTTATCATTCATACTTGTTATAGAAACTGATCAACAAGTCAAAACAATTTTTGAACATACTTCGGAAGGTTTAACTGGTCATTTGAATTGTAATTTATCATCATTACTACTAACTGAAAGTTATCAAAATACACATCAAGCAAATAATCAATATCAATGGTCAATTTTATGGTATCGTAGTGTAACATCAAGTGAACCACTTAACATTGAATCAGTTAATAAAGCATCTGGTGGGATTAAATATATTATTAGCAACGTCAATGAATATACTCAAATTCTCAGCATTGTTAATCCTAGAAAGATTTCCGATGATGGTCAATATGTTTGTAGGTAAGTTATCAGTCAATTAAAATTTAATATGTTTATTGTTATTTTATCAGGTTAGATCGATGTGAATGTTTTACTTTCAATGGAATATAGGCCACCGACCTCTGGTTAGCGATTTTTTAGCGAGTTGGTTTTCTACGGGAATTAGGTCGCTAACCCTATGCTCAACCCTCCTCCTTTACCCAGGCTTAAGACCGGCAGTAGCCCCCGGAGGAGCTACAGGCGGAGTTTGTTTTACATCACAATATAAATGCATTTCATCTTAATAAACACAAAGAATTCTCTTATGCTTCAACATGGGCGTTAAAAAATGTGTATCCGATATTTAAGGGAGTTTGTATGCTAATTACAAATATAACCAATAGCATATCAAACTATTTCTCTGGTACTGGATACTGTCAGTAACATCCTACTGTGTTTGAGAACGAGCCAGCATTCAAATGAAGAGAAAATTAGGAAAAGACGTGGAAGTGGATAAGACATACACTGAAGAAATCACCAAACTGCATCAAAAGAAAAGCCATAACTTGAAATCCTCAAAGGAAGCGGGAAAGTTGAAGACCAAAGAACATATTACGCTGGAAAATGGAAGTTTATGTGAAAAAAATGAATGTTCATTGGAAATAGCTGGATAGGATTGCTCAGGACAGTATTGGATAAAAATTTTGGTGGGCGTTCTATGTTCCTCCACGAGTAGTAACATGCGTAAGTAAGTAAATAAGATATTAAACTATTGACAGCCACAGCTTCTCAATAGAACTTCGATCTGGCTGTAAGTTCTGATTATCTAAAATCTCAACTCATGTTGCGTTCGTGGATTCACTATTTTGCAAAAATCTTTTATTCTCTCCATTCTGGAATATGAAGTTCCTCGAACTGAAATCATCTCATGAAGTGAAATATTTTCATGTTAAACAAAAAACATTATTTTTGTAGATCTATGTAACCCAATCCAAAAAGCTATACATCTGGTATGTTACAACAAATTGATTTAAAAAAACAACCTCCTCTTTTTGAATTCGTTATTTCCAAATGACTTAGTATTATATGACTATATAGTTGACATCATGAGTCAATTGAATCTTCCAGGTTTTCCATGGTAGTCTAGCTTCAATTGACTGATGATCTCAACTATATAAAATTACTAAAATTTCCACAAAACCCCTTCTGACAATATACAATTATCTATAATTATTGAATTAACATGATATTCTATATCAGAATTATTAAACATAAAAATCCCAATTCATATTTCTATGGAATACACTTACTAACTGAGTCATCTTTACATACATACCAATAAGGAAATGGTCTAATAATTTTGAATGAGTTAATCCAGTTTAAACATAAAGATTACCAGTTGACAGATTTTCAAATAAATGGAGTTTGTAAGCATGAAAAATCCTATTAATAATTCATTAATGTATAATAATCATAGAGTTGAAATCATAAGTCAAATAAAGCTAAACTAACACGGAAAACCTGGAAACAGTGGACGACCGTTTCGTCCTATCAAAGGACTCCTCATCAGTGAGCAACTATGATCCCACGTCGCGAGATCTGTACCCAGGATCTAACGGTTTCGTAAATATATATATATCGATATGTATGAGGATTGGAATACTATCCGGATGCTTAAACATAATGAATAATAGAACCCATTCTATATCATTTATAACAACTATGTCTTAGCTATTGTAGTGAACAGAATACGAGTGGGAACAGTCGAATGTATTTGAACACAAAATTACAGAATATCTCATTAAAATCTGACAACCATTCAGTAAATATTTATTTTGCAATTTATCAATCAATTGTTTCAATCTTGACCGTTCCTTCTGCAAATATCAGTCCATAGTCTTCGATTATTATTGTACATGCATTTTCATACCAACTGCATTTCGTTCGCTTGATTAAAGTGAGTTGGCTTACCCGCCGTCTCCAATACGTGTCATTTCTGTTCCGCTGATATTTGCTCATGTGTTTATACCTTTCTGGCCTCCATTATTTGACAATAAACTATAGCTGCCGCTTCTCTTTGCCTTGTGATTTTATGCACCGTTAAGTTTTGTATTATAACGGTTATCGAGTTGAACGATTAGCGAAGAACAGCACTACAATATAAGTAACCCACACCACACTATATCTTCAACAAATTTGATAAAACTACAATCCAGTTGCTTATTAATCACATTTTAAAAAATTCAAGATATCTCTTTGATGTTCATAAATTTCATTATTGAAGTTTAAAATGAAATTGAACTTACATTCAAGATATTCAATTGTCACTTAGTGTACATAAATAAGTTTCTTTTTTTAAACTTTGTTTTAGAGTTTACAATACAACAACAGGGAAACTTTTAGGTGAACAACGATTTCAACTGATCATTGGTAAGTGAATTCACTGACATTGAAAGTTATTATTATTATTATTAATGACTTTATTCAATATTATATTTTGGTACAATATAGAGTTCTCAGCATGAGGTATTTCGAAAAGTGTTTCTTTTACAAAAAAAGAGGAGGTGGAGGAAAGCAGATCTGAATCTGTACAACCTTCCAATAACCGACATGTTTAAGAATATAGGTTATTGACTAGGTCAATTCTAATAACGTGTTCGTTACAGAGTATATTTGCTTGATAAGGTATCACAGAACGTTTTGTTATAACTTGTAGCCTGCCTGCGTTCCCACTTAATATATGACGTGACGATGCCACCAATTAGAGAGCAGCGATTTATTGATCGGCCCAGTGAAAAATGAAACCCGTACGAGCAGTCTAGAGAACTTGTCGGTCCTGTTATGAGCCTAGCCCAGCCAGTTAAGCTCAGAACACCAATAACAGTCTCTGCAATATGAATCATTTATCTCAAGGATACTAGGTTTATATACCAAACAGTGAGACCACATCGTGTCATAAAATAGGAAACAGCATTTGTACAAGATTTGGTCAAATGTGGCTGTGAATGTTGGGGACAGTAATTAATAGACTGGGGATAACTCAAGAATGGTAAATCGTATAATAATAGTCTATGGGTCAAAATAAAACTCATAATAAAAGGAACATGGTTATGATTAGTTGATCTACTTAACAATTATACAATAGGAAATATACGAATCATATTTGTCCATAAATAGTCTTCAAACGTTACCATTAATAATTCTTTTCGAGATATAACACTTTTATTACATTTGCTTGCATGCATAGATTTTAATGTATTTACGTCTCGTTCTATGAGAAGATATACAAAGAGAAAGAGATATGAATGAAGGGGGATGGTCAGTATCTGATAAGATAACATCTGCCAGGAGTTTACAAGACTTTAGATTGAATATTTGAAACCTGTTTCATTGTCTAATCTTGAATTAAATTATTATTAAAATATAAACGAAACTGTATACTTTATTAAAGAAAAATATCAAATTACAGGATACTATTAGACTTAATAAAACACCGAAGGATAATATCAATATAGAGTCTTATATGAATGTGCTTTATTGAATCGAGGGAGAAACGCAACAGGTAGTAAAGAAACTTTTGAAAAAAGAACCTTAAGAATGTTTTCGATTATTGGTAAAATTTTTTCATGGCTGAGAAAAAAACAACATTAGGAATGAATGGAATTGTCTAGGAGTAATGAATTACAAGCATTACCAATCAAGATCATTAATTTACAACTTAATACATAAAAACATATGAATTAAACGAGTTACTTTCATTTCACTATGATCAGTTATAGGGTTACGCATTTGTATAGTAACATAAAGTTAACTAATTTCCTTAAACTAGCCCTTATAATGATATAATATTACCATACAAAGTAGTGTAGCTGTTCAATTAAGGGGGGGTTTAACGTTTTACGATTTACCTTACCTGTAAAAGCCATTAGCATCAGAGTATTTCTGAATGAAAATAAAAGATTCGTCTCTATTATTAAATTCAGAACATCACTCATTAGGAATAATAATTCAAGTCAAACACTATACATTGTTATTAATTCCAAGTAAGAACATTTCACATATATCCTTATAGAATGTTACAGTTCCGATATAATGTCATTCATAAAGATGTGTGTCGATCATCAACGTTGATGATCTCTGTCGAATGTTTAAGGGCTTACTCAAGTTAGATGGGAATGGTGTGACCAATACTTAACGTCGAAGTCACACCTATAGGTCAGTATCTAACGCTGATTACCCTTTCGACGTATCAAAGTATTATGGCTGCTTTGAAAACCGTATGACGCAAAGGACGTTACTACGTAAATTGATTAGCAATAACGAGTACAGAGAAGATAGTGAGACCACCACCACATGGGTCACTACATGGCAAAAGATTAACTGATGCGTGTTGGTTGTCCTTGACCCTGACAGGGATCGATTATCTGTTCGATATTCATTGACATAACTTCCGGATGATTTGGCTGGGGTTCAGTGAGATTTCACTGGCCCTACAAGTGTATTTATATAATAATTATTTGGAAAATCGATAGTAAACTATAGTCTACTAATGGATTAAGCATTTCGTCATCATAATAAGTCGAAAATTTTAATAATAGTCACAAATTTCGAATAGAAAACCTGGGAGTACTGGAAGGCCATTTTTTCCTTGTACGGAACCCCTCAGTAGTGCGCGTTCACGATACGAACCCAGAAATTAACGGTCTCGAACGCAAACGCTTTACATCTAGACCACTGAGCTATCATCTAACGGTGTTATTGTACAACTTTAACCAATCCACGAAATCGAGCCACAGTCCACCATTGTCTTTCGTGAGTTACTTTCTCACAACAGACCCATTTGGACTCTATTGGTCATTGCTTCTCACTAGAACTGCAGGAAATACCTCTTGAAAACAATCACTGGTGAGTTTGCAGATTTTTCATGGTTGTCACACATCAACCGACTCATAAATTGAACTATAAAATTACTAAAATTTCCACAAAACCCCACTTCTAACAAATTGAATTGTTTTCATTTATTCATTGAATTTACAATTTCCAAGTACATATCGACTAAATTTAATAAAGTCGCTTTATATTCATCAAACTATTCATCTTAATCTGCGGCCTGCTTAAATATCTGGGCTACCTGTTTCCCGTCATCTATATATTTCAACAAGTTATATAATATTGTTTGTTTTAATACATCATTACGGCTATTAAGCACACAACATATTCCGGTGCGTTTCTGAAAACTGTACAACCTTTCGCTGTAAAGGTTACAAAAGACCTAATCAGAGATGTCGTGTTTGCTGGGAACATGCAGCAAAAAGAATATACATTATTCATATGTCGATTGACTAAACTGCTGACATCCAACTGGCGATCACTGAATGTTTATCATCAGGAGCAACGAAGAAATAAGAAACGTAAACATGTTGAAATACTTTATGCTGAGAATTCGATTTTGTACCAAATAATATAATATTGAATAAAGCTAATAATAATAATAATACTTATAAGTAATAACTAACCACTTACATTAAGTCAAATAAATTCAATCTAATAATATTTAGAAGATTCTTTTTTTTCCCTGGTATATAACATTCTTATTTGATATATGTATATTAACATTGCGTGCGACCTTTGTCATAGATATTTCAACTTGTTTCTCTTATACTAAGCAAAGATGGACAGCGGCTAGCAGGAGAATCCAGCATGTGCGTTTCATCTTATTTGGAACTCGTCAACTGGATGTACCTGCATCTTAGAGTTGATGTCCACTCCGAGACTCGAACCCAGTAACTATCGCTTCAAACGCCATCGCGTTATCCACTCAGCTACTGAGTCCTGATAGCCACTTTCTTGTGCAATAGGATGAAGTTGAAATTCACTTAGTATTGGTTGTTTATAAATTATCCCATTGTTGTTTAGGACTGCAACTGATCAGGCTCTAATTGGTATATGTGAAAACTGTGCCCATTGCCTCGATATAGCCTTAATTCACAAGGATTGTAAGTAAAGATGGATAGTGACTAGCAGTGGAATCCAAGACTCAGTAGCTGAATGGATAGCCTTATTTCACAAGCATTGTATACTGTATACTGTTCTCATAATTGTTTTTTTTTCTTTTTTTCTCCAGAATCAATCAATAATGATGAGAATATCCATAAAAATCTTATCAAACATGAAACCTTTTTAACCAAATCATCTATATCATCCGAAACGCCAAATAAATATGAATTACCCTCTAAGAGAAATGAACAAAATTTAGTCTTAAAACAAACTGAAAAACCACAAATTAAAGGTAAATAGTTTTACAAAAACATTTTTTCTAAATATTAGTAAGATATTTAAGATTATTCTATTTATATAGTTGAGATCATGAATCCATTGAAGCTAGACCTTCAGGGAAAACCTGGAGGCATTGGATGGTCGTTCAATAAAAGTGTTATACCTTGTGGCGGAGTGGATGACCATTCACAATTCTGTTCGGGATACAACAAAAAGTACATTCAAATAAATATCTATTCATTTTTTGGTAGAACTGATGAATTTCATGCCTTTGAGTAATATCGTTATTTCTTTTTAAAGGAAGGATTCAATGTGACCACTTAATTGGCCAAAGTTAAGTAGGTGAAATGAAGTCTGATTTTTACTTACTTATGCCTGTTATCACTCATGGAGGAGTATAGGCCGCTCATCAGCATTGCCCATTCAATTATGTCCTGTAAATTTTTTTTCATTTGTTTCCGGTTGCTATTCATTCTTTTTATGTCTGCTTCCAATTCTTGGTAAAGTGTGTATTCTTTGGTCTCCTTTTTTTCCGTTTCCCTTCAGAATTCCAACTTATGAATTGCTTCGTAATACAGTTAGATGATTTCCTCAATGTATGTCACTTAAGTTATAGCTTATAAGACAACACTTTTAAATTTACTAAACTGACTGAATAATGAGTATCAAGATTATGTGATAATTAATCTACCTTGAAGTAATCACCATTGATAATTTTAAATCAATCTAAATACATGTACTGTTCCTTAATGAACAATTACAAACTGTATGTTTATAAGCAAAAATGTACCTAAAGTTAATGTTATAATATGTGTGCCTGAGTGCCCTATTAATATATAACGTGACGATGTCACCAAATAGAAAGCAGTGAATTATCGAATGTACCAATGATACACGAAAGCCGAACGAGCAATCTTGAGCACTTATTGGTCATGCTATCTGTCTAGCCCAGCCAGTCAGGTCCAGAACACCAATAACAGCCTCTGCAATATGAATCATTTATCTTAAGGATACTAGGTTTATATACCAAACAGACAGACTACATCGACCATAAAATATAAAATAGCATTTATACAAGATTCAGCTAAATGTGGTTGTGAATGTTGGAAACAGTAATTAATAGACTGAGGATAACTCAAGAACGGCACATCAAATAACAACATTCTATGGGTCGAAATAAAGCTCATTATAAGAGGGACATGACTATGAATAGTTTAGTTATTTAACAATTATACAATAGGAAATATACGTATCATATTTGTCCATAAATAGTCCTCAAAAGTTACCATTCATAATTCTCTTTGGGATATAACACTACTTAATATTTAATACGCCTATAGGACAATCTTATTTCATAGTAGATTGAACATATAAAGACACTTTCTCCATTATTCAAATAACTTCATTCATTATACATGAAATATGATCACTTGAATATGACAGGAATATAGTAACTAAGCTCTAAAACAATTTTCCATTTCTATTCCACTTATCCTCATCCGGTTGATTTTAATAAAGTTTTGTTATTTACAAGTTGATAGATTCATTTAGTTACTTTAATTTACCACTTATATTAAAGGATATATACCAATAATGAAGACTATGATAGATTTTTAATATCCGGATTTGTTTTTTTTATTCTCTGAAGAAGTTATTTATACTGAGCTGAAAAACTGCCAAAATTTGAATTTCCTACCCATTGAGATGATCCATAGCTACAAATATATTATTATTATTGTTGAACATCTACTCAATATTTACTTTATTTGAAATGATCAACTAAAACTTGGTAATGATCCCATATCTGTGGGGAGATATCAACTCACTGAAGACATTGGTGAACGGTTGCTCAATTTCATGGATTGGTTGAAGTTAGACATTAACACCGTTAGATGCTTGCCTAGTGGCCTAGAGGTTAAGTTCTCACGCGCGAGACTGATAGGTTCTGAGTTTGAATCTTGTGAAGCGGGATTGTATATACGCACTGCTGAGGAGTCCCACAATATGACGAAACGGCCGTCCAGTTCTTTCAGGGTTTTTTAATGATGGTCTAACTTCAATTAACTCATGATCTCAACTATATAAAATTATTAAAATCTCCACAAAACCCGCTTCTGATAATGATACTTGTCTCTCAAGATCATCATTATGAATCTAACTAACTTAAAGTAATCATAACATTCTATTAACTTGATGTTTGAGCATTTAATAAACAAACCTCATTATACTGAATAATGAGAAGAATACTAAAAGATGCTTTATTCATCAGCTGATTTTCATTGATGAAATGAGGATGAAAAGAAAATAATATCATCAGCACAAAGAAAAGAATAATAAAAATACATAAGTCGTAGAAATAGTAACAATATCAGAAGTAGGAGAGAAAATATGGCCAGGAAGATCTGTAGTAAGAAAATATAGGTTTGTGGGATATGAATCTATAAGACAATTTAGAACAATAAGATAAAAGAGAAGATAAAGTGAATGCTCCCGAACGATAGTAACCTATTGTTTGTGAAGATTGTATTTCCGTCAAACTATATATTCAAATATTGACGAATATTCATATAAAGTCTTTTGAAGCATACCACTCAATGTCTCTATACATTAGTTAAGATGATTGCGCACACCGTAACCAGGTAGTTTACATTTATTAATATGAATCAGTTAAATTGTAAATCAACTCATGAGCTGATACTACTTCTTGAAATTCCGCATGTAGCTTTCTTTCAGCCCACTACACCAGAAAAAAATCACTCGTTGAAGAAAGGGGTTGGTTGAGAATACATAATACATGTCCCAACCAACACAGTTGATAAAAATTCACAAAATCAAGCTAGCTAATTGTTTTAAACATATACAAGCAATGCTTTCAAGATATCTATGATCGAATATTAGGAATCAATGATTATTATTTATTATTAATGGACATGTTACACGCTAATGAAGCAAATTACTGTACAGTAAATATAATCTTTATTTAATAGATAGATATATTACTTATGTCACAAGTAACCTAAGCTAATAAAAGTCAATCTAGATTTGTAAATGTTTGACAGGTCTAATATGGTACTATAGCTAGTCTCTGTAAATTATTCGTAGGAAATATCGAAACAAAGAAAACACCTACTAACTGATTATTCTTAAGATAGGTAATTAAATAGTATCTAATGTATATTTGCTATATCTTTTTTTATCTTTTCATGTTACCTAGTATCACAACCAATTGTCAAAAGATTAGCAAAGTTTACAATGGCTGTACATATAAAATGGATAGTTTATCATAGTCCAATTAAAGAATTACACTATCAATTGGGTATAAAACATTTAGGAAATATTCGTCAAACTAAATCAATTATAACATTTTCTAATGAGTATATACATTCAAGGAACAAATCGAATGAAGAAGAATTTTCAATTTTGCCAAATATTTATGATAATTCAAGTATTATATTTGATTCACGTGATCTTTTTCAACCACAAAACTCTTACAGGTCAGTGGGTAATTTAATTGATTTCTTTCTTGATAATTATAAATCAATAAAACTTTCTTCTCTTAGTGATAAAACATAATCTGAGGGGGTTTTGTGAAGAATTTAGTATTTTCATAGTTGAAATTATGAGTCAGGTAAAGCTAGACTACCATGGAAAACGTGGAAGCACTGAACGGCCATTTCGTTTTATTATGGGACTTCTCAGCAGTGTGCATCCACGATCTCGCACTCACGAGATTCGAACTCAGGACCTACCAGTCACGCACCGGAGCACTTAACTTTTAGACTACTGAGCTAGCCGGCATCTAACGGTGTTAATGTCTAACTTCAACCAGTGGTCTATCGGTTAAGTGCTCTGGCTCGAGACTGGTGGGTCCTAGGTTCGAATCTTGGGGGTGCGGGATCGTGGAGGCTCATTGGTGAGGATTACTATGATGGGATGAAACGGCCTTCCAGAGCTTCCAGGTTTTTCATGGTGGTCTAACTTCAATTTACTCATGTTTTCAACTATGAGAAACATAATCTCTCTGCTCGATTGATAAAAGAGGTAATGACTTCATTAATCTGTTGTCAGTAAGAAACTGACAAAAGAAATTGATTGATCACCATCATGTTTGATTGTTTACATCACCATACTTACGCCTGTTACTCTCAATGGAGCATAGGCCGCTGACCAGCATTCTCCAATCCACTCTGTTCTGATATACATCACCATACCATTCAATAATGACTTGGATTTAATTTGTAATGATGGTATACATAGATAACCATCAGAACTTGTTACAAAGGTCAAAGATCCTGTCATTTAAAAAAGGCACTCATAAACTTCATTAGAAACTCTAAACGTGTAGAATTGACTAAGTTACATTTAATATTTTGTCATTTCATATATAAGTGAAGATACTAACATGAGGAAACGAAATTGTGAGATGAAACTGAGGTTGATTAAAAGTGTAAGTAAATAATTTATTAATAAGGAAACGATAAACATCAACCATTGTTTAGTACATAAATTAGAAACATGTCACAGGATTAATCTGAATTTCAACATTATAGTGTAGCACAGAAGTGGTCAAAGATAAAGCATCATTGAGATGGTGGAGAAGATTGGTATCTCAGGTTGGGGATTTTGATGAAGTTTTGTTCTCTGATCTCGATGGTTTATTCGTGGAGCTTTCATCATCCTTCTGAACGACATCATCAGCACAAACTTCGGGTAGAGGTGAAGTGTTTGAATTTCTCCACATGTGACTCACAGCTTGTCCTGTGCACCTCGATGTTGATTGGTTCCTGTCGACCTTAAATCTGTCATCATTCATAAGAAGACGTTAACCTTATTTTTATACTGAAAAACAACTTCTACCTACTTCAGAGTAATAATGATTGTGTTTTTTTACCTATTACTCTCCATACATTCTATATTTCCATCAGATTAATTTAACTGTCATTATGACTCATATATTTTGATATGTTAGTTTGTGGTCACTTTGCTGCTTGATATATATTACTACAATATACCATTATATTAAATGGAAAAGTTTGGTGACTAGCGGTGTAATTAAGGACGTGCTCTTCGTCCTATTCGGGACTCATCAGCTCAATTTACCTGCATCCCAGAGTTGATGTTCATTCCGGGACCTGAATCCTAGTACCTATCGCTTCAAATACGATCAAACGCTAGCCACCATCAATCTTTAATTAGAATGCTTATGACGTAAGGCAATATCGAGGCAATCGGTACATGATGCACATATACCAATAAGAGACTGATCAATTGTAGTTCTAAACGTCAATAGGAAGATTTAAACAAACAATACAAAACGAATTTATACCATTATAATGTTCTGAATAACATTATCATCTCATTATATTACTTAGATTTATCATCGAGATTAGCTGTTTTATATTACAATGTATTTCAAAGAAAGAAAATGAGGTGGAAATATTATCCATAGGCTATTGATTTTATTTATTAAAAACCTTACATTATCAACTCTTTACCACTTTCTGGTACCTCCAAACTTTTCAAAATCAATATAAGTATATAATAGAAAAGAAAAAAATTATACCACTGAGCCGGCATCCCATGGTGTTGTTGTCTAACTTCAACCAATCCACGAAGTTGAGCAACCGTTCACCAATCGTCTTGAGTGAGTTCCTATCTCAAAACAGTCGTGGTTGAACTCCACTGTTCACTGCTTCTCACTAGAACTCCAGGAAATACCACTTGAAGCCAGTCAATAGTGGTCTAGCATCAATTGACTCATGATCTCAACTATGAAAGTACTGAAATCTCCTCAAAAACGTTTTCTGTTAATAATCAGAATATGCTCACTAGTGACTGGCTTCAAGAGGTATTTCCTGAGTTCTAGTGAGAAGCAGTGAACAATGGTGTTCAGACCACGTCTGTGGTGAGATGGGAACTCACTGAAGACAATTAGTGAACGGTTGCTCAAATTCGTGGATTGGTTGAAGTTAAACATTAACACCATAGGACCCCGGCTGGCTCAGTAGTCTATCAGTCAATTGCTCTGGGGCGAGACTGGTAGGTCCTCGGTTCGAATCTCGCGACGCTAGATCGTAGATGGGCACTGCTGAGGAGTCCCACAACAAGACTAGACGGCTGTCCAGAGCTTCCAGGTTTTCCTTGGTGGTCTAGCTTCTAACTCGTGATCTCAACTATGAAAATACTGAAATCTTCACAAAAACTTCTTCTGATAAAAATTTGTACATCAGAAAAGTCAATGAACATATTCTGGAAATAAATCGACGAATGAAGAGTTTCAGTAGGGTTGAGTAAGAACAGCGAAATAAATGACAGAAAGCCTTGAACTGATGCTTCATTTGAGATAAAAAGTAATATCATCTTATTTCACAGTTAGATATATTACCACTGAACTATTTCAATTCATTTAGCGATTGAATTAAGCATTGGTTTCGCATATAACTGAAGGTAATCCACAGAATACTATGTCGTGTAAAACAAAATATATCAGAATTTCAAAGTAATCTCTGCTTCTGGTCCTATCTAGCATACATTCACTAGTTAATCGTGCAATTCAGAACTAGAATAGTTAATTTACCAACCACCTCACATTCCTATAATGATAAAGAGCATTTATATTCTGTGGGTGGTATTTTATTATATAATCCAAACAACATGACATCATTGAAAGGTAAATTACTTTCAAACAAACAGTTATGTCCTTAACATAGTAATTACAAGACAATAGAATTGTTATTAATGTAGGAAACTGAAGATTATCAGAAGTGGTTAACGGAGAATTCTCACGTTGTCCCCCATGAGTAACCATATTGTTCACACCAAATCACTTATCACACTATGGGATATATATATATATATATACAGGGAAGTGAATGCACCAATTCCTAAATATATATCCAATGAATGAGAACAAACGTGGTTGTGTAAATACTATACGGATGACTAGTAATGTTTGTATTGTATGGACAAACTTTTTTGCTGGTTAGCGTTTTTAGCGAGTTGGTTTTCTACGGGACAGGGTCACTAATCCCATGCCCAACCCTCCTCCTTTACCCGGGATTGGGACCGGCAGTAAAGATTTCCACCACATATTCCTCAATAAAATATATGAAAATCAAATGATGTCAAGTGTTACACTAATCAATAAATAAATCATGCTTCCTTGACGTTTATTTCAAACAAAATAGATTTTTCAGTATAGAGTTGTGGAGATTATTTAGTTTAGATAAATATCATGAACGGATCAATGTTAGACTACTATTAAAAACCTGGAAACACTGGACGGCCGTTTCGTCCTAGTATAGGATTCTTCAGAAGTACGTATCTCAACAAAAACTAGATTTATCAAGTTTTCAATGTCGTCAATAAGTTCACTGATTCCAAATACAGATAGATATTCTAAAATAAAAATAATTAATCTGGGGACTTTGCAGTTAGATTTCTTGTTTCGAGGACATAAAGATGAGAAATATAAAAAAAATAATGAGGCTTTTGGCATTACTTTAATGGATCTCAACATGTATTCAATAACTCCTTCATCTGAATTGTTATCACTGAGTTGTTCCATGATGCACTTCCTTTAAAACTGGAATCTTGATATCAAATACTTACGTCTAGTATTCTTATTTCAAACAAAGTACATACCATTGTCATGTGATTATATTTTAAAGAGAGTCGGCAAAATACTATTGTAAATAGAAGTGAAATATATTTTTGTGAAAGTTGAATTCACGATTCGATCTATGCTAGACCATCAATGAAAATCTGGAATCAATGGATGGCTAATTTGTCCCAGTCTGGGACTCGTCAGCAGTGCGCATTTACGATCCTAACTTGGGACTTGAAATCAGGACCTTCGGTTTCATGAGCGAACGCTTAAACTCCAGACCACTGAACGGGTATTCAACGGGTTACTGTCTAACTTTAATTGTTCCATGATCTTGCGCAACCCTTCGTCTATTGTATGAGGTGGATATGTGTCTCCAGTTAACACGGATTGAAATCCACCGGTCACGATATCTCATGAGAACTCCAGGGAGTCCATATTTTTATATTTGAAATGAACATTGGCATTGCATCCTAATAACTACCTTCAACTATCTTACATGAAATGGTATTTTATTAATCAATTCATTTATATTTAAATGTCAATTACTGAATTACTTTTAGAATTATCTTACCTTATAGACCTTTTAATGCTCATTATTGACATTGAAATGTATAATTCAAGTAACTTATTGTTTTGCATTTTCCTTCATTTACTTGAATCTAGCTTGCGTGTACTGGTTTTAGAACATCAACTATGGAGCCCTTGGACAGAACCAGTGAACTTTGATAATATGCTTGATACTAATTTACAAATTATATCAATCGTAACTAGTGTAAGTTGTATGCATTTGAGACATAATAGATTGTAAATTGTTTATTTGAATCTGCTCATTGATATTTTGGACTGCAAATAATCAGTCTCCTATTGGTATATGTACATCCTGTGTGAACTGTCTCGGTGATATCATTTAACAGAACTATACAATCTTGATTTAAGTTATATTTTACATTGTTGATAATAAAATGGACAATTATTACGTCATAGAAACTAATGGTCAGTCAGAAACTAAAGTTGAGTAACATTCAACTTATTTATTCTATTTTTAGCACATGTATAACGCAATGATGTATCAAACTACCGTTCTGAGTCACCTCAATCCACATCTACTAGATTACTTGCTTTTGTGTAGCTTGTAATTTAGTTTATAAAAAGTACGATTTTTAAAAAAAACATGTTCACGATTTATTCACATAGATGAAATGGTTCAGAAGAAAGCTGCATAAGAATCTTATGCAAAGTTGAAGGTTTGACAAATAATCAATTTAAGAAGCCTGATCATTGTGTTCAGAAGCGTCATATCTGATCCCTCGGTTCACTATGGTTGCAAAATCCCTTTTTATTTCATTGATTATTTATTGACACGCATTTGTTTTTGCATCTTTATCTTCCTATATTCTGAAAGTAGGCAATTGTCTTTCCCATCTTTATTATATATCTTATTTTGTAAATTACTACGAAACGTATTCGTTTATATTTTAATCTTCCTCATAATCGTTAAGCGGATTATCTTTCATATATCATTTCTAAGTATTATTTCTTTCCCATTACATTCCAACCATTTTGACTTTTATTATCTCAGTCAATGACATAATAACCTGCTTTTGTATTATAGACCATTGCATATCAAAAATAATTGAAAGTACGATTATTCAACTCTAGAAAAATGGTATTCGTCAAGTTCTCTGGCGCAAGATTGGTAGATCATGGGTTCGAATCTCGTGAGGTGAGATCATAGATGAGCACTGCTGAGGAGTCACATAATAGGACGAAACGGCCGTCCAGTTCTTCCAAGTTTTCCACGGTTGTTAGCTTCAATTGATTCATGATTTCAACTATGAAAATACTGAAATCTGCACAAAAATTCCTTCTGACAAATGATATTGTCAAAAAGAAACTTTTCTTCACTGAAATGTTTTCGTTTTAAAAGAATGAAGATTGTTCACTGAAGAAAATTCTCTTTTCGACGAGATCATTTTCCGAAGTTATAATTAACTTCTTTAGATACAGTAATCTTAATTTTGTTCAATTTTCAAAGAGTTGGTAATGATATAAATTTGTTAGATTTTAAAGAATCAAAGAAGGTTAACACCTGCTTTGTTCCATTTGGGATCATTAGGATGAGGCTATTCTTTAATTTATTAATGACATAATTCAAACTATTCAACCTTCAACAGGGTCAACATACCATCCAACCATTGCGTTGGAACTGTTCTTTGGTCACAGGGTGCTATATAAAAAACATTATTCATCAGCTGGTGTAAACCGAAACAATAAAATAAGCAAAAGTACTTTGAACTAATTGAAGAAAATATCTTAGTGAATTGGATGGTAGTTAATGATCTGTAATTCTGATTGCTATATTGTATGAAAAACCTGATGTCTAAAAATTAGAACTTTTGTTTTCATGTAGGTGCTCTGGGGAGTTTTTCCTCAAATACTTAGGGTCTTGATTGATGCTGAAGTTTAAATTAGGATAAAGCTTTGAATGATTTTCTTTGGTTTAAAAAATGCCTTCCTTGACAGCTTATTATGGAAACTACATTTTGAAGACCTCTTAGAATAATCAGCGTAAAATACTTAATAGTCGTTGTTAAGGTACAGATAAGAAGTTTAAATTTGCGTAGAAACTCAAATAATAGTTGAAAATCAATGAAAACCCACCATTTCCCCTAGGCCATTTTCATACTTAGAGAGTAGACACAATTGTTTTCCAAATTAATTAACAAAAACATGACAATGATGCTATGTCACAAAAAATATATCCCGTAATAAAAGGAAAAAGAAATAACGAAAGGAACAAGTTCGTTCTGGTTATGAAACTTTTCAGTAATGTATATCCATAGCTCCAAAACCGGTAATCGAACCCAGAACCTTCGGTTGTTCAAGAAGGCTTGGTCTTCAGAGCCATTAACAATCTCTGTGTAAATCTGGCTTCAGTCAGTCCACGAAACTGTATGATCATCTTTGTAGGGTGCATTGCACACACTCGACGTGTTTGAAATGTACTGATCACAGCTTCTCACTAGAATTTCATAAATCTCTTTTAGAAAGTAGTCATAAGTGAAGACATGATAATTATTACAACTGATCTGTAAAGAGGAAGCTTCTGGAGTTCTATTGAAAATCTGTGACCAATGAAGTTCGGTTGGGTTGGATATGAAGAAGGTGGCCGTGCAGCATGACGCATTGAATTGTATGTCTAATCATTCCGGTTCTGAAGGTTAAGCTGTTTCATGTAACTCGACAGGTCCTTGATTCGATTCCCTGTTATAAGCTGATGTATATTTGCACTGTTGTAGAGTCCCTCATTAGAATGAAATAGCTGTTCAATGCTTCTATATTTTCAGTGATTTCTTTTTAACTTAGATCGATTCGTAATCTCCATAACAATCAACCATCTGGATAATCATAAAAACGTTGTTCTATAAAGAAATTTTCAGACATGAAGTTTTTTTCGCTAAATTATATTACCTTAACTAACTAGATAGTTAAATGTTTAAATATACATACATTCTCTTTTTTGAAGATAATTTATTATCTAATCCAAAAAACAAGAAACAACTAGTTGTTACAATAATCACTAGATACAAGCTTAATAAGCAAAGATGGATAGTGGCTAGCAGTGGAATCCAGGACACGCATCTCGTCCTGTTTGGGACTCGTCAGCCGGATATATTTGCATTCCAGAGTTGATATTCACTCCAAGACTCGAACTCAGTCGTGTTCGCTTCAAACGCCATCGAGTTATCCACTTAGCTACTGAGTTTCGATAGCCACCTGCTTATATTCACTTGGTGTTGTATACTTGTATCTTCCTATTGTTACTTACGACTGCAATTGAGTGGCATATATGCATCCTGTGAAGACGACCAATATAGCAGCAGCCTCAGCAGCAGTAAGTCTCAATATGAACAAAGAGAAAAGCAAGACTCTCCGATACAATACAATATGCACCAATCAAATTACACCTGACGGAGAAACATTGGAGGATGTGGAAACTTTTACATATCTGGGCAGCATCATTGATGAACACAGTGGATCTAATGCAGATGTGAGGGCGCGGATCGGAAAGGCAACGGCAGCATATTCACTACAACTGAAGAACATCTGGAACTCAAAACAATTGTCAACCAACACCAAGGTTAGAATTTTCAATACAAATGTGAATACCGTTCTACTGTATGGGGCGGAAACCTGGAGAACTACGAAAGCCATCATCCAGAAGATACAGAAGTTTATTAACAGTTGTCTACGTAAGATGCTTCGGATCCGATCGCCAGACACTATCAGCGACAAGCTACTGTGGGAGAGAACAAACCAGATTCCACTCGGTGGAGGAAGAAATCAGGAAGAAGTGCTGGAAGTGGATAGGATACACATTGTGAAAGTCACCCGATTGCGTCATAAGAAAATCCCTCACTTGAAATTGTCAAGACAAAAGGAGAAGAGGAAGACCAAAGAACAAATTACCTGGAGAAATGGAGACAGATATGAGAAGAATGAACAAAAGTTGGATAGAACTAGAAAGGAAGGCGTATGACAGAATGAGTGTGTTGGAGAATGCTAGTCGGCGGCCTACTCTCCATTGGGAGTAACAGGTAGTCCTTACAGGATGCACATATACCAACAAGAGACTGGTCAATTACAGTCCTAAATAACAATGGGAAGATACAAGTATATAACACTTAGTGAATGAAATCACCTAGATACGTTAAGAAGCATTACATTTTGTCAATTCCTTTGTCTAACTTGTCTAGTGAATGTCAACATTTAAACTGATATAAATTTTATACAAAGTAGCTGATTGACTTTGATTTTGTTTTTTTAATACCCAATCAAAATGAAATAGATTACTGTCTACGTTAAAAATGATGTCGGATACATTGACATGGAATGATTGTTTTTTTTCTTTTAGAGTAGAAAAAACATATAAAACTGAACACCGTCAATATTTATTATAGAAGGAGTTTTGTTGAGATTTTGTATTTATTATAGCTGAAAGCGTGAGTCAATTGAAGCAAGACCATCATGGAAAACCTGGAAACAATGGACGGCCGTTTCGTCTTATTATGGGACTCCTCAGTAGTGCGCATCCACGAATCCGCTCTCGCGAGATTCGAACCCAGGACATACCAGTCTCGAGCCGAAGCCCTTAACAGATAGACCACTGAGCTGGTATCCAACGGTGTTAATGTCTATCTTCAACTGATCCACGAAGTTGAGCAACCATTCACCAATTGTCTTCAGTGAGTTCCTATCTCACAACAGACGTGGTTTTGAACTCCACTGGTCACTGCTTCTCACTAGAGCTCCTAGATATGCTTCTCGAAGTCACTAGTGAGCATATGATTATATTAATTATCTATCACTCTATCGGTTAAGGCTGCGGCTCGAGAGTGGTAGGTCCTGGGTTCGAATCTCGCGAGAGCGGGTTCGTGGATGCGCACTGCTTAGGAGTCCCATAATAGGACGAAACGGCCGTCCAGTGTTTCCAGGTTTTCCATGGTGGTCCAGCTTCAATTGACTCACGCTTTCAACTATTGTCAATATTTATTATCAAAAGGGGTTCTGTGGAGATTTAGTATTTTCATAGTAGACCCATAGTAGGATGAAACGGCCGTCCAGTGCTTCCAGGTTTTCGATGGTTGTCTAGCTTCAATTGACTAACGCTTTCAACTATAGTTAATATTTACCTGATCTCATATAAGGAATATTCAACGGTCATTTTAGGTGAGACAATCAATTATGGACAAACCAATCACGTATGAAATAATAGGTCTCGGATTTAGGCGCGAAATTCACTCATCCATTTGGATAAATAGTGTTTTGGTATTTTAGTTGATGTCAGTTTGTGATGAAAACCATAAATCCAATTCCTAACCCTGACCATCAATTGTAAATCATAATCCTCATCCTTTAAAACCGTTTTATAACTCTCATTTAGTTCTAGTAAGAAGGTGGACATTCTCAAAGTCATTAAGGTGTCGGTCAATGATTGTCCATAAATTATAGTCTCACCGAAATCGGACCAAAACACCATTCAAAATAGATTTCTAGAACTAAATGATAAATAAGTCATTTGTACACATTTTACTGCTTAGATTTCAACTAAATTATCCTTTATCGTTTATTAAAGTAAACTTAATCATTTGTATTATCCGAAATCATTTGAAATTGATATCGATGTGACATGATATGAACCATTACTCAAATACAATTACATTCATGTAATAAGCTTCAAAGCAGTAGAACCACTTTCCGCGTACATGTTGACTATTCCTATGGCAGCATTAAAGAGGCATTTGGTTAGTAAAGACCAATAAAGTTGACAATTTAAGTTTGGTTTATGTATGGTATATGGTATATGTTATCAATTTGTTTATATTTAGTCTGAAATTTTTGATTTGATAACTTGACGGATATTTGTTTATTTTCACAGTTAAAATCACAAGTCAATCTAGGCGGGATGCACACTGCTAAGGTGTTCTATACCAGGACGAAACCGCTGTCTAGTGCTTCCAGGTTGTCACTGGTGTTTTAACTTAGATCAACTCGTAATATCATCTCTGAAAATACTTCAATCTCAACGGACCCCTATATTAATTTGACAATCATTTGCATATGCACAACTCGTAGTTTAAAAAGAAAACATTTAAAAGCTTAGATTCACAGCATTGGATACCACCTCAATAATCTTAAGATAATACACTTGCCTTGGGATCAATAAAATGAAGCACCTAACAAACACTTAGTCGTATCCATAGGTTGTCTAAGATGAGTCTATAATTTAAATTTGAAAATTTGCAAAAAAGATATTTATTTACTCGATTTCACTTATTCCCTATGTCACCAACTACTTATATCGTTTCAAAATGTTATTGTATTCTCTGTACATAATAGATTTTTGCAAACTGAGTAATTTTCTTGCCAGCTAAACTCACAAATCATTATATCTGAATAGATACTGACTTCGAATGTTTATTAAGGGGGTTATTTATTATTAGATTTAATATGAAATTAGCAATACACATGGAGATAATAAGATTCATAATAAACAACTGTTACTTCTTAATTCATATATATTGGTTGCTCGGATAATCCCAGGTTTTTTTGACAGATGTGGATCCTGTGTGGATTGCCCCGAATTAGCAATAAGTCACAATCATTATAAGGTTAGTTATATGGTGGCTAGCAGTGCAATCCAGGTAGATCGTTTCATGCTATTCAGGACTCTTCAGTTGAATTTATGTGCATCCTAGAGTTTGAAGCGAACTATACTGGATTCGAGTTCCAGAGTAAACACAAACTCTGCGTGTAAATCGAAATAATGAGTCAAAAATGGGACGAAATATGTATTCTAGATTCCTCTTCTAGCCACTATTCACTTCTGCTTAAAAATATTTCTTTCTATTATGATACCTTTAGCTGCACAAGTCATAGGTGTGTGAACTCTTAGGTTTCGCGGCAATAGAGATATAATTAAATAGCCTAATTAGCATCTATCCGTTAGCATTTCCGATTTTGTTTGATCATTCTTATTTATTAACCATAATCTAATACCACTGATGATAACTATTCTTGTTGTGAAATTGTGGAGAGACCTGTTATATTTTGAGATGTTGGAGAAGATTTGTAGCTCTGGTGGGTGATTTTGATGTAGGTTTGTTCTACATCAAGACCTCTTATATTAAAATGGTTATCACGTATGTTTTAAACGTACAAGAATCTGTCTACCTGCTAACTAAATAATACAAAGTACTCATAAAACCTATATCAATTATTGATCCTAATGAATATCTTTCTACGATATTCTTCAAAGATACACACTTTTTAACAAAGTACATTACCAATCAGTGTATTTCTCCTTTGTAGATTTGGTGGTGTAAAAATGTGTTTAACTCCAGATGATCAAATCAAACTACCTATCCAATCAAAGAACAGGTATAGAATAAACATGACTTACTTATTTTAGTATGTGACTGGCAGTGTAATCCAGAACATATACTTAGTACTATTTTGCTTTCGTCAACTGGATTTACCTGCATTTTGGTATTGTTTTAACAAAACATGTATTCTGGATTCCACTGATAGTTCCATATTAAAAATATACTAAAACTTGTTATATCGCGCTATAATGATGCATATGACAACAGAGATTAGTTAATCCCAGCCCTGAATATAGTAATAATAGAAAAAATACAACCTCTACATAGACCTACATAGTTGTCACTACCTCCAAAAAAAAAAACATTTCTAATCTAATCAGAATTAGATAGTGAACAAGATAGAGACCATGAAAACATAGAAGATAATAAATTACCCATTTGTTATGGACTGAATAAATCATAAACAATTTGTACCAATAATAAGTTAATAATGCCAAATAATGGTTTTAACTAATAAGTAAGTGAAGTGGAATAGACAAAAGAAAAATGTATCTTTCTGCTTCACTGAATACTTTTCTGTTATATTCATCAATTTTTCTTGTTCAGATTGAATCTTTGGTCAAATAATTAGTATTTTTTCATATAGGTAGTCACTGAATGAATAAGTTTAAATCTTCTTAGTTATATGTATACCTTAAAAAGTAAGTTTCCGATATGATATTTTACAAAAAAGAGTAATACTGTAGTATAAAAACACTAGTTGGAGACAATCGAATGTATATATAAGCATAAATTAAAGATTCTCACTAAATTCTGATAAACATACAACAAATAGTTAATTTGCAAAATAACAACCGATTGTCTCAATGTTCACTGTTCCTTCTGTAAATATCAGTTCATCTTCTCTAATTCCATTGTTCATGCATTTTCCTACCAATTGCGCTTCATTTTAGTTCTTTCCTTATCTGTCTTTTGCCCAAATACATTCTACGTCTGACCATCGCCATATATTACTTATATAGATATAAGTAGACCATACCAACATTCAAGTACTTGGGGAGCATCGTTGATAAACAAGGAGGATCAGATGTAGATGTAAAGGCGAGGATTGGCAAAGTAAGAGCAGCATTTCAACAATTGAAGAACATATGGAACTCAAAACAACTCTCAACCAATTTCATGGTCAGAATCTTTAATACGAACGTCAAGACAGTCAGTTCTACTGTACGGAGGGAGCTGAAACGCGGAGAACTACTACGACCATCATCAGGAAGGTACAAGTATTTATAAACAGTTGTCTACGCAAAATACTCAACATCCACTGGCCGGATACTATCAGCAACAGCGTTTTATGGGAGAGGACAAACCAGCTTCCAGCTGAAGAGGAAATTAGGAAAAGACGTTGGAAGTGGATAGAACACACATTAAGGAAATCACCAATGTGCATCACGACTCAATCCCTAACTTGGAATGGTGAAGGGAAGCGGAAAAGAGTAAGGCCAAAGAACACACTACGCCGGGAAATAGAAACAGATATGAAAAGGATGAAGAGCAACTGGAAAGTAAGGCTCAGGACAGAGTTGGATGGAGAATGCTGGTGAGCGACCTATGCTCCTCGATGAGGGGTGACAGGCGTAAGTAAGTAAGTAAGTAAGTAAGTAAGTAAGTAAGTAAGTAAGTAAGTAAGTAAGTAAGTAAGTAAGTAAGTAAGTAAGACCATACTACAATTTTAAGATGGACAAACAATTATAGGTACTGAATAGAAATAGTTTGATATCTTCTGAATTTGTAAATCTTACTAATCGATTCATTTCGTTACTAATTCATTATAATCACAAGGGGGTTTTTGTGGAGATTTACTATTTTCATAGTTGAAAGCATGAGTCAGTTGAAGCTAGACCACCAAGGAAAACTTAACGAGTCCCACAATAAAACGAAACGGCATTCGAACGCATCCAAGTTTTCCATGTTGGTCTAACTTCAATCGACTAATGATTACAATTATTATAACTACTATAATTTCCACAAAACCCCTTCTGATATTAATCAACATATGCTAACTAGTGACTGGCTTCAAAAGGTATTTCCTGGAGTTCTAGTGAGAAGCAGTAAGCAGTGGAGTTCAACCAGGTCTGTTGTGAGATAGTAACTTTTTAAAGACAATGAAGGACGTTTCGCCCAGTGGTCTATAGGTTAGGCGCTCTCGCGTGAGACCGATGTGTCCTGGCTTCAAATTTCACGGTGCGGGATCGTAGATGCGCACTTCTCAGGAGTCTCACAATAAGACGAAACGGTCATCCAACGCTTTCAGGTTTTCCATGATGGTCCAACTTCAATTGACTCATGATCTTTATTTATTTCATTATTTTAGAATCAGACATGCCTTTATATTGAATGGATATATATACAATCAAGAAATCATTCATTTACAACAATGAATATTACGGATTTCAATGATCTAACATTTAATATCATCTATCGTAATTTATCTGATAATTTAAATGAAAGAAAATCTTTATTAGAATTATGGACTGAATTTATATTTAGTGATGAGAAACGATTTTCGATGGATTTATCTCAAATGAATCAATTAGGTGACTTATATATACGTCGAATTAATGGTGATCATACATTGAAAGGATATTTACTTGATGGATTACAACCTAATGTAACATATGCAGTAAGTTAAATATGTATTATGATTACTATTGTTATGATTGTGCTGTATTCTACTTATATTGACAATTGTATGTAGTATGTAATACTAATCAGAAGTGGAATGTCTAGCGTAAGAAGATTGAGATGATTGAACTTATTATATCGAATGTCCTGCCCACAAATTTTATTGATCGGCCCAATGATACACGTAAACCTGTTGGAGCAATCTAGAGCACTTGTTGGTCCTGTTTTCTGTCTACCCCAGACAGTTAAGTCCAGAACACCAATAACAGCCTCTGCAATGCAAATCATTATTTTCAAACAAACTGGGTTTTATATAGTAATCAAACAGACCGAATCGTACTATAAAAATAGACAATGACATTTGTACAAGATTTGGCTAAATGTAGCTGTGAATGTGAGGAACAGTAATTAATAGACTGGGGATAACTCAGGAATGGTCAACTGTACAGTAGTAGTCTATGAGTCAAAATAAAGCTCATGATAAAAAGAACATGAATATACATAGTTAAGTTACTTAACAATTATACAAAAAGAAATATGCGTATCAATATTAGTCCATAAATAGTCCTCAAAAGTTACTATTCATAACTCTTTTTCGAGATATAACAGAACAGAAGAAAACAAAAAGGAATTAAGAACTACGAAGGATGTAAAGAACAACTGATAAAAGATGTACAAATGAAGTATTTGACTATTGATTTCTATAGATAATAAAAAATATTGTAATTTGACATGAAACAGGAAATTAGTTTTCTTAAAACTGAGCACCCGTACACCATACTACTAGTGTTGTTTGTGCTGCTTATGTCGAGATAAGTAGTATATAACGTTAGTCAGGAATGGAATGTCTGTCAGTAGAATGTTAAGAAGATCAAGGAGGAAAGAACGGGAAGAATAAACAATTAGTATGGAAATGAATGAACAATGAAGTCTGAGACAATTAATAAACATTTTGCAAATGAAGTATTGAAGTATGGTTTTCTTATATCATCAAGTAACTCAGTAATTTTGTGCTAAACACAAATATTTATTCTGACCTGTGTTCTTCTTTTTCTTCACTACACTAGTACCATAATCAGTTCTTATTATAATCTTGAAAAGAAGAGTTATTCAATCAACTAGGAAGAAACATGAATATGGATCCAGCTATTTTCATTGATAAAATGTTTAAAATGAAACAAATAAAATACGTATTTAGCTTATGGTCTATCATGATAGTAATAACAATAAATAATATGGTAGCCAATTCATTCAATAGTTAAGTTTTGATGTTCTTGGATGTTTCTTCCTACTTCGAATGGCTAGAGTTAATTTCTTCGTTAAATCATCACCATCGTATGAAACAAGATATTGTTACCCCAACAAGGAAATATATTTTATAAGTTATAAAAATAAAGCACTCGCTGTTGTTAAACTTCTTAAAACAAATAAAGTTTTAACTTTGAGTATCCATCTAGAAACAACAGAACATATGAAACATAAACTGATTATCATCATTATTATTGGTGTTACACAGAAACTACTGTACAGATTACTTACTTACTTACGCCTGTTACTCCCAATCGACCATAGGCCGCCGATCAGCTTTCTCCAACACACTCTGTCCTGGGCCTTCTTTCCTAGTTCTATCCAACTTTGGTTCATTCTTCTCATGTCTGTCTCTATTTCTCGGCGTAATTTGTTCTTTGGTCTTCCTCTTCTCCTTTTGTCTTGACAATTTCAATTGAGGGATTTTCTTATGACGCAATCGGGTGACTTTCACAATGTGTATCCTATCCACTTCCAGCAATTCTTCCTGATTTCTTCCTCCACTGGATGGAATCTGGTTTGTTGTCTCCCACAGTAGCTTATTGCTGATAGTGTCTGGCGATCGGATCCGAAGTATCTTGCGTAGACAACTGTTAATAAACTCCTGTATCTTCTGGATGATGGCTTTCGTAGTTCTCCAGGTTTCCGCCCCATACAGTAGAACGGTATTCACATTTGTATTGAAAATTCTAACCTTGGTGTTGGTTGACAATTGTTTTGAGTTCCAGATGTTCTTCAGTTGTAGTGAATATGCTGCCGTTGCCTTTCCGATCCTCGCCCTCACATCTGCATCTGATCCATCATGTTCATCAATGATGCTGCCCAGATATGTAAAAGTTTCCACATCCTCCAAAGCTTCTCCGTCAAGTGTAATTTGATTGGTGCATATTGTATTGTATCGGAGAATCTTGTTTTTCTCTTTGTTTATATTGAGACCTACTGCTGCTGAGGCTGTTGCTACACTGGTCGTTTTCTCCTGCTTTTGTTGTTGCGTTTGTGATAGAAGAGCCAGATCATCCGCGAAGTCTAAATCGTCAAGTTGCATCCTGCCTGTCCACTGTATTCCGTGATTTCCTCCAGATGTTGACGTCTTCATGATCCAGTCGATGACCAGGAGAAAGAGAAAGGGTGAGAGTAAGCAACCTTGACTAACACCGGTCTTTACTTCAAACGAGTCGATGAGTTGTCTTCCGTGGACGATTTGGCATTTTAGTCCATCATAGGAGTTCCGTAGGATGTTGACTATCTTCTCAGGCACGCCGTAGTTTCGAAGAAGCCTCAATAGTGTTGTCTTGTCCACGACTGTGCACATTACAAGTAATGTATTGAAAACTGTAAGGATGGCTCGTTGACAAACTCAAAGAAGCCTCAAGAAGCTCAGAACGAGCTTAATACATTCCATCTAATCCAAGGAACATTCCACAATATCGACGTGTAGCTTCCCTTATTGGATGAATAAGAGGGACCCCCTATGTACCTATTGGCTGTCCGAAATGATGATTTACTTTCAGTCAAAAAAATATATAAATACATGAGACATGTACTATATTTGACACTGATTTTAGAGATTAACGTTCGTATTTACTAATCTTCTGCCTTCTCTCTTGTGACGTTGCGGAATTGATTGTTCAAGTAGTCTAGTAGTACATAGCATAACAAGAATCTAGTCTCGAATCATAGCTTTTAACTGACAGGTCCTGGATTAGAATCTTGCGTGGCAGGATCGTGGATGCGCACTGTTGAGTAGTCCCATAATAGAACGAAACGGCCGTCCAGTGCTTCCAGCTTTTCCATGTTGGTCTAGCTTCAATTGAATCACGCTTTCAATCATTAACATTTGTTTAAACATCAAGTTTGTTTTACTTTTTTTTTCTTCCATCTTAGGTATCTGTTTATATTGAAGTAACAAAAATTGATCATTATCAATCACAAAAATATTTTACACGTTTAAGTAATGAAGTTGTTCAAAAAACTTTACCGAAACTAATTTCATTGTCAACTAATGAAAATCAGTTTTTTGTAAAAAATTCAACGAATGAAAATATTAATCAATTAATAATGGTGGTGAGTATAATTTTCATTGATTCACTAGAACTTATATATACTTTACTTTTAGTGAATATTCATATTCAGTTTATGAACTGATTTATTCAAACAATAATATATAAAACCCCTTTTTGATATTCATCAATATATACTCATTAGTGACTTGTTTCAAGAGGGTTTTCCTGGAGTTCTAGTGAGAAGCAGTGACCAATGGAGTTCAATCGGATCTTTTGTGAGATAATAACATACTGAAGACAATGGTGAATGTGTCGCTCAATTTCGTGGATTTGTTAAAGTTAGAAATTAATACCGTTGGATGACGGGACAGTTGTCTAGTGGTTAAGCATTCATGTGTGAGACTGATAGATCCTTGGTTCAAATCTCGCGTGGCGGTTGAATGCGCACTCCTGGGACGAAATGACCGTCCAGTGCACCCAATTTCTTCATGTTGGTCTAGTTTCAATTGATTCATGATCTCGACCATTAAAATGATGTAACCATTGTATTCAATGATTTATGTCAGCTCAAATTTTTATTTCATTCACCATTTGTTTAAGGATTTTCATCATCTATCATTACCATAGATATATGAAATAAAATTTTGTTTAATATTTAATACGTTTGATGAATCAATAAAACTTTACATAATAAACGAAATTAAATATGAAATATTTTTATCCAATTTAAGTTTTCTAAGTATGTTTTTCTTCTAGGAGAGGGTTTATTTAAGAGTAATCTGTACCACTAGTGAAAAGTAGTGACCAGTGGAGTTCAACCACGTCTTTTGTCAGATAACAACTCACTAAAAACAATTGGTGAACGGTTGCTCAAACTTCGTGGATTGGTTGAAGTTAGACATTAACACCGTTGGATTCCGGCTCTGGGGTATATCGGTTAAGTGCTCTGGTACGAGACTGGTAGGTCCCGGGTTTGAATCTCACGAGACGAGGTCGTGTATGCGCACTGCTGAGGAGTCCCACAATAAGACGAGATGGCCGTCCAGTGCTTCTACGTTTTCCCTGGTGGTCTAGCTTCAATTAACTCATGATTTCAACTATGGAAATATACTAACGACGTTTGATGATTAAATTTCTGTAAATTATCGATTGAGTGCGTCCCTTGTTAATATATGAACGTGCTGATCCCCGCCTATTAGAGAGGAGTGAATTATCGATCAGATCAATAATACACAAAAACCGTATGAGCAGTCTTGAGCACTTATCAGTCCTGCTATCTGCCTGGTCCAGCCAGTTAAGTCCAAAACACCAATAACAATCTCTGCAATATAAATCATTATTCTCAAACATACTGGGTTTAAATACCAAACAAATTGACCACATGGTTCCAAAAAATAGAAAATAACATTTGTACAAGATTTGGCTAAATGTGTCTGTGAATAGGGGGAACAGTATTTAATAGACTGGGCATAACTCATAAATGGTAGATCATATAATCATAGTTCATAAGTCAAAATAAAGCATATGATTAGAGGAATATGAATATGAATAGTTTAGTTACTTAACAATTATACAATAGTAAATATACACATAATATTGATCCATAAAAGGATCTCCAAAGTTATCTGTCATTATTCTTATCGGGACTGTATTAAATCAATGTAAAGAGATGAAGAATTATGCCATATTATTAGAAGAAATGAAATGAAAACTAAAGCATTCATTAGTAAATTTTAAAGCTTCCTGTTCAATTCATTCGTTATTACAATTGAAGACGTTATTTTTGAGATATTTGAGTTAAAAGATCAATTTTCAGTGAAACTGTAAGTTTATATATTTCAAGAATTTTACTAAGCATACATGTATGCCTGTGAGAAATAATCATGTAATGTTGAAAGTTATGATTAGCATATTAGTGTATAATAGATGTAATATATTTGAATTTTTAGTATGGGGTTGTGTAGATTTCTGGATTCCATTAAAATTATGAACTGACCGAAGTTAGACCATGATTGAGAACCTAAAAGCATTGTATGACTTACAGTACTAATATAGGATTCCTCAGCAGTACGTATGAGCTACCTCACCCACCCAATGATCCAAAGTTTAAGCATTTGCGCATAGAACCAAAGGCATTGGGTTTGAGTCCTGTGCGAGGGATCGTAGATTCGTGCTACTGAGGATCCCCATACTGATGCGAAACGGCCGTCAAGTGTTTCTAAGTTTCCAGTGGTGGTCTAATGCAGATCGGTTCATGATTTCAATGATACTTGAATTTTCTAACGAAATGGAATTCAGACTGCTCGTTTATCTTTAACCGAGACTTGTCAGAATGTGACGTCTGGTACTTGTGTCAATAGACATAAATAGTATATAACACCAAATAAAAGTGGAATGCTTGGAAGTTGAGGGTTGCGAACGTCGAATAAAAGAGAATGTTAACGGAGAGTGATTGGAATAGAAACAAGAGAACAACAAAATCTGAGACAGTTGATGAATAATTTTCAGATGAATCATTGAGCATGTAGTATTCACATTTTACCAAATAATCTTGTAATTCTGTTTTCAAATATATTTTTTTGTCTTCTCCTATGTCCTCATACACCACAAGCAGACTACATTCCAGTAAAGACATCCACACTGATTCGAACCCGATACTATTGGCTTTGGGCGCTTCAAGAGAACATATTATAAATAGCTACATCAGGGAATTCACTCAGAATGTTCATATGGCAACATAGGCTAGCCAATTTTAGTCCCTTATTACAACAGTGGAGAACTACAAACCTATAGTGACATGATGAATAATCGAAACTTTTTTCATACTTGATCGCTTAATTCGTTTTCTCAGTTTATTAGAGAACAAACTAAAACATATTTATCATTGTCTTACTGAATTAAATATACCTCAGATACTGTGTCATCTTAAATCAGATACTTATAAATGTTTACTTTTCCTTCTACTTCACAGGATTCATTTGTTCAATCAACATCAAATATGAAGTCTAAAATGACAGGACAAATTGGTTATAATAAAAATGATTTAACTAGTAAATTAACTAAAACTTATCAACATGACAGTTATGTATTAATTGTAATACTTGGTTCACTCGCTGGTGTATTATTCATTATATTCATTGTACTGATTACATTTTGTATATGGTATCGATTACATTTGAAATCTCAATATCCTAGAGGTATGTGATCAACATTGGATTTGGATTTGTAATTGTTTGCTCTGAAATAATGTAATTTTTACATAAATAGGAGCGTTTCATATATTTCATGATTGTACTTCTTTATATTGTATGGTGATACTTGATAGTGTGTAGGTCTCGTCATGATACAGTAATCACCAGATACTTAAATTGATGTATTGTAAATGGACCTCAAATAATTTATTAGGAATTCATTTAATCATCGAAATTTAGTTTCATACGCCAAATATCTTAACATTTTGATTAAATATGGAATGACTAAGAAGCAGAAGAAATAGGGGCATACGAAAGCGAGTAAGTTCTTCAATAACAAACATTTCAGTTAATCAACTAGCTTCAAGATGAATTTTCCGGAGTTTTAGTAAAAAGCCTTGATCAGTGAAATTCAACTGTGTTTATTGTGAGGCAGTTACTCACTGAGGAAAATGGAGGAAGGTCGAGAAATATTTTGGATTAGTTAAAGTTAGACATTAACACCGTTGGATGTCAGCTTAGTGATCTAGTGGTTAAGCGTCAGCGCTCGATAACGAGGGTACTTTGTTCGAGTCCCAAGTGAGGTATCGCTGTTGCTCACTGCTGATAAGTCCCATACTGGAACGTAAATCGCCATCTAAGGCTTCCAGGTTTCCCATGGCGGTCTAGCATTGATTCATTTATGATATCAGTCTAAACTCAATAATCCTCAGAACCTTATACTGGTAATCAATTTCCTGTTGATAATCAGAAAGGGGTTTCATAGATATTATAGTAGTTTAATAGCTGAATTCATAAGTCTATTAAGCTAGACAACCATGGAAAGCCTGGAAGCACTGGACGGCCGTTTCGTCCTTGTATGGGACTCCTCAGTAGTGCACATTTACGATCCTGTAAACAGGACTCGAAACCAGTGTCTTTAGTCTGGCGCGCGAACTCTTAACCTCTTTACATAAGAGGAAAAGTGATTTCTTTTACTTGTTTTCCCAAATCTGTAACATTATTTGATGTAACAAAAAGATGTCAAAGTACAATCATAGATTCACTGTCAAACATTAAAGTTATTCAAGGTTCATGAGTACTTCTCTTGAGTACTTTTAAAATAACAGGCTATTTTATACTTTTAAATAGGTTTGTCACATTATTTATTCGTATAGATTTATAAAGAAATGAAACCATATTCAGATGCAAATTGTAAAATAATGTAGATCATATTGTAGTGAACGAAGACTAAGCGGGGAAAACCAATTTATTGTCGAATATAAAATTACAGAGTGTTTCTGTAAAATATGAAAACCATACATTAAATACATTATTTGCATATCTTCCATCAATTTTCTTGTACATGCTCAATGATTCTTCCAATACTGTTGTTAGTACAGTTGCTCTCTATTTCCTTCCGTGTTCTCGTCAATTCAATCTTCTCCTGGCAGGCATTCTACTTCCGATTGGTGTTGCATACATTCTATATCTGTCAGAATAAGTAGCAAGCACCACAATGTAACATTCGTGTAGGCTATAATTTTATCGTTTTCACTTACTGAATATCGAAAAGTATTACTTTATATGTTTGAGTGCCAAAACATTTTTAGCGATTCGGTTTGAAAATGAGGTATTACTATGAACGTTGAATAACTTTTTCCTAAAGTATAGCAAAAATATCTTTGAATAAAGTTTATGCTACGTCATTAGATATGGCGTGATGAGTGGGAGAATCGAATGTATCTAAGCACAAATTACAGACTATCTCACTAAATTCTGATAACCATACAGTAAATAGGTAATTTGCAATCTTAACTGCTCCTTCTGCAAATATCAGTCCGTCTTCTCTGATTTCATTGTTTATTCATTTTTGTACCGATTGCGCCTAATTCCTGTTCGTTCCTCATTGATCTTCTGCCGAAATACATTCTATGTCTGGTCATCAACACTTATGTGGATATAAGTAGACCACACCACACCACAGTTTGTGCTAAAAACTAAATTCAAATTGTTGATCATCTCCAAACACTTCCAGTTTGAAATAATGACTAGTTGAGTTTTTGCAGACCAGTTTAAAAATAAGTTGTTTTTATCAGCTGAGGAGCGCTTGAGAAATAAGGAATACTGGATAGCTGTTCGTACCAACACTTCTGGGTCAAACATGATAGGTATCCATACATATTACATTGAGTGATATCATACTACAGCACCGAATGGACAATGTTGGAAATATATAGTGCAAAGGATACTATTATTATTATTATTTTTTTATTATTATTAATGGCTTTATTCTATATTATAATCTGGTACAATATATAGAATTCTCAGCACGAGTTATTTCAACAAGTTTTTTCCCAAAAAATAAAACTCATGACCAATTACGTAGTCCGCTTGACAAATGACAAGAGATAGGATTGTGCCTCGAACCATTTAAAAGTTTCAAGGTGGAACGAAATAGTTGCTCAATATTCATCAGTTTTTTATTTATTCTTTAATTGATATGTGCGCACGACAAGATCAGCCTTGACTTTAATAATGATTCCGAATCTGTAATCACAATTGATTGATCACTGGGTGGTGATCAATATCATGCATGTCAAGTCCTTAGTGCTGATCGAAGTTGTAATATAACCACTGGTCTAGGTGACTTAACACTTGCTTGCTGACGAGTGCCAAGTAGCACGAAACCCGGGTCCAGTATTTCCTGTTGACTACCTCCAACCACCACACAGAGGCAAACAAGCAAGTGAAGAGGAGCATCAGAACCGACAAACGTAAATATGTTGAAGATTTAGCAACGATAGCGGAAAAGGATGCAAGAGAAGGAAACATGAGACAACTGTATGATACAACAAAGAAACTTGCTGGAAATTACCGTAAGCCAGAAAGACCAGTGAAAAGCAAGGAAGGCAAAATAATCACCGACATTGAAGAACAACGAATCAGGTGGGTAGAACACTTCAAAGAACTCTTGAATCGACCAACCCCACTGAACCCACCCAACATCGAAGCAGCACCCACGGACCTCTCAATCGATATTGGCCAACCAACAATTGAAGAGATCAGCATGGCCGTTAGACAAATCAAGAGCGGCAAAGCAGCGGGACCAGACAACATCCCGGCAGAGGCACTAAAATCAAATGTAGCAGCAACTGCCAAGATACTACACATCCTTTTCAGTAAGATTTGGGACGAAGAACAAGTACCAACAGACTGGAAAAAAGGACTTCTGATCAAGATACCAAAGAAAGGCGATCTCAGCAAGTGCGACAACTACAGGGGCATCACTCTTCTCTCAATACCAGGAAACGTCTTCAACAGAGTATTGTTAAACAGGATGAAGGATTCCGTGGACGCTCAACTTCGAGATCAACAGGGTGGATTTCGTAAGGATAGATCGTGCACAGATCAAATCGCAACTCTACGTATCATTGTGGAACAATCAATCGAATGGAATTCATCACTCTACATCAACTTCATCGACTACGAGAAGGCATTTGATAGTGTGGACAAGACAACACTATTGAGGCTTCTTCGAAACTACGGCGTGCCTGAGAAGATAGTCAATATCACACGGAACTCCTATGATGAACTAAAATGCCAAATCGTCCACGGAAGACAACTCACCAACCCGCTTGAAGTAAATACCGGTGTTAGTCAAGGTTGCTTACTCTCACCCTTTCTCTTTCTCCTGGTCATCGAATGGATCATGAAGACGTCAACATCTGGAGGAAATCACGGAATACAGTGGACAGGCAGGATGCAACTTGACGATTTAGACTTCGCGGATGATCTGGCTCTTCTATCACAAACGCAACAACAAAAGCAGGAGAAAACGACCAGTGTAGCAGCAGCCTCAGCAGCAGTAGGTCTCAATATAAACAAAGAGAAAAGCAAGATTCTCTGATACAATACAATATGCACCAATCAAATTACACTTGACAGAGAAGCTTTGGAGGATGTGGGATTCATTACATATCTGGGCAGCATCATTGATGAACACGGTGTATCAGATGCAGATGTGAGGGCGCGGATTTGCAAAGCAAGAGCAGCATACCTACAATTGAAATGCATCTGGAACTCAAAACAATTGTCAACCAATACCAAGGTTAGAATTTTCAATACAAATGTGAATACCGTTCTACTGTATGGGGCGGAAACCTGGAGAACTACGAAAGCCATCATCCAGAAGATACAGGAGTTTATTAACAGTCGTCTACGCAAAATACTTCGGATCCGATGGCCAGACACTATCAGCAATAAGCTACTGTGGGAGAGAACAAACCAGATTCCATCCAGTGGAGGAAGAAATCAGGAAGAAGCGCTGGAAGTGGATTGGGCACACCTTGAGGAAATCAGCTAATTGCGTCACAAGACAAGCCCTCACATGGAATCCTGAATGTCAAAGGAGAAGAGGAAGACCAAAGAACACATTACGCCGAGAAATAGAGACAGACATGAGAAGAATGAACCAAAGTTGGATAGAACTAGGAAAGAAGGCCCAGGACAGAGTGGGTTGGAGAAAGCTGGTCGGCGGCCTATGCTCCATTGGGAGTAACAGGCGTAAGTAATTAAGTAAGTAAGTAAGTAACCTCCAACCACCATCTTATTCCGAATCTGTATAATTTAAGTAATTCAACAAATATATTGATAGTTTTATACTATGTACTTTTATTGGTGAAACGAGTTTGCTGGGTTTAAAATATTTTCATATTTAATATATCTGTAAATAAAAGTGCATAGAAATAAGGTTAATGAATCTATTTTTTTATGTCCAATAGGTTAAATCTATGAGATAATAATCTCAATGCTGATTCGTAGACTCTTAATGTTAGAAAGAATCTAAATGGAACTTTTCACATCAACAAAATTGATTTCGTTCTGTTGAAATTTTAAAAAAGAATGAATGACCATAAATTTATTTTATTCAAACATAAATGCTCAAGAGGGTATAGCAACTAAATTATAACCAATGTCAACCCTTTTACTAACTTACTTAATAGACAATTTTACTAGAACAGTAAGAATTCTCATATTTTTTTTGTACTGTTATGATCACTAGAGCACATGACAGATTCTAGCTTAAATGTTGATTATAAGCAAAGATGGATAGTGGCTAGCGATGGAATCCAGGTTGACTCGCGTTTCGTTCTATTTGGGACTCATCAGCTGGATGTACCTGCATCTCAGAGTTGACGTTCATTCGAAACTCAGTATCTGAGTGGACAACTCGATGGCGTTTGAATCGAAAGGTACATCAACTCTGAGATGCAGGTACATCCAGCTGATTAGTCCTAAATAGAACGAAACGCGTATCAAAATGGATTCCACTGCTAGCCAATATCTGTCTTTGCTTATAATGCTTGTGAATGAAGGCTATATCGAGGCAATATGGACGAGATGTACATATGCCAATAAAGAGACTGATCGATTGCATTCCTAAACATCAATGTAAAGATTCAAACAAACAATACCATGTGAATGTAAAATGTTGTTTGATTAAATATCACTCGATGATTCATCCTCTTCCTCATATATATGGTACTCAGATCCTATTATTAGCTTTTACTTTTCCTTGCTGCAACCTTATACAATTTGACTATAACTGTGCCTATGTAATCGCTCACATATACTTATTAGCTTCTCCGCTTCAAATTCGCTTTATGTGTTTGTAACTTTGTGATCTGCGCTATCAGCTCATAAACTGTAGTTGTCACTTCTCATTGCCTTCTCATTTCAAACACTGTTGAGACTTATATAATAACGATTATCAAGGCGATTGATTAACGAAGCAAAGCCCCTGCAAGTGTTTCATTTCTCATAAGCCTACTTCCCAGCTTAGAAGTAATTTTAATTGAAACATATAAGTTTCGATTTGACATCTAACTATCTATGGAATATAAAATAAATGTCATCAATCAACCATTTATGCAAACTACCAACAAATTTAGCCCGTTTACACTACTATTATTATTATTTAGATTACGAATTGGCACACTTTCTAGTCTCATACAATAGTATTTTATTACAAGGGGTTTTGTGGATATTTAATATATTCATAGTTGAAAGTGTAAGTCAATTGAAGCTAGACCACCAGTTAGAACCTTCTGAGGAGTTCCACAATAGGATGAAACGGCCGTCCAATGCCTCCAGGTTTTCCCTGGTGGTCTAGCTTCAACTGACTCACGCTTTCAACTATGAAAAGTATTTTATATTGATTACACTAATTAGAACAACCTGATACTTTTATTATTTGAAATAAAAATTATTATATACCGCATAAAAATCTCTATCATTAGGCTATTTCGGTGGCTTAAATGATTCACAGCTAACTGAAACTCCAAAGCAGAGAACAATCACTGAATGGGAAAACTTCCAAACTCAACCAATTACGACAACTGATAATCATCAAACATTTCCACGCACTGCAGGTAATCTTCATCTACAATCTTTAGGTGACCAACAGAATTTGATTACAGATATAAATAATTTTGCTACATTACAACATCCAACACAATGGATACAACAGTCTCAAATACCATGTGAAAGAAAGTGTAGGAACTCTATGGTTCTTGATGAAACACTCAAGACCTATTGGCCAATCATAAATTCTAACGACGCAAAAGTAACATTTATGAAAAATCATAATCATGGAAATGTAATACATGGTTCTCCATTACTTCCAATTTACAAAGATTATTTACTGAAACAGGCAAATCATCAATCAATTAATGGTACCTTGTCAGATGGTCAAGGTGATAATCAAATTGGGAGTTTAGATGGAATATTTCAAGATATCGCTGGTGGAGAACAGTTCAATGGTGCCAACAAACTTTCAAACAAGGATGTTCAACTAACAAATGACCAGGTAGCTACTGTTTAATAAATTGTGTTTTTTTAAAGCTACAATTCATCTCAAATGTCTTGACATGGAATGCGTGCTACGCTTACACAACTATTGCTTTATTCTACACCGCTTACGCCATGACTGTGTTAAAATTGGTATTTCTTATTTGATCTGCTGTGCGATTTCATAAATCCTGCATGTAAGCTGAATATTTGAAGTAAATATGCTGGCTGGGTTGTTTGATTGAATCATAACTCAAGAAGTTTGGTTGCAGTCTTCTCTTTCAGACTCAAAACAGAAGTTAAAAGAAGGGGTGAGTATCAAGAGTCCAATAAGAATGAAACTAACACTAGGTCATGGACGGGATAGCAAACGCGGGATAGAAAAAATCTTGATAGGAAATTCTGATTGAAGGGTTTAGTTTAGCAAATCTATTAGCGTCTAAAGAAAACAGAATGATCGAAAAGTTATCCATCGCTTCCTGATTTCCAATAGTGATCCAGTTAAAATCAGTTTGTGGTGCAAACTATTGATTAAACAAACCAAAATCTGAAATATTGCTGACTGTCTGGTTAGTTAGTCTCTTAGATCTAATTCGAAAAAATAAACTTTCGTGACAAGTAATTTGTCAAGATACAGTTTTCCTTTAAAGACATTCAATTGTGGGACCAATGTCAATCATTTTAAAGTCTATTTAGTCATTGGTCACTTCTATTGAAAAATGCACGTTCATAATCTGGGTTTATTTCACCATGGTTTATAGATCAAATTTATAAGGCCATGATGTTTTGTTTTAGATGTGGTTAAAAAAGGTTTAGGTACCCTATTCATTATTTTTACAGTAAATAAAACCCATGAGACTTGAAATTTACTAAATCACAATGTTCTTTTGCTTTTAAGTGACGATTCACAATAAACCCTTTATACTTTTGTTACAAAACATCTGTTAATGATGCTTTATCACTGACGTTTTCTTACTAGAACTACGGGAATTGCATTTTGATGCCAATCACATGTGGAGACGTGATAATTATGAACAGTAAAATGGCGTGTTATGAAGGTTAAAGAACCTTCAAATATTAAATCATTTATCAGTGACCTAGAGGTTAAACGTTCATGTATGTGATCGAAAGTTTGAGTCCAATCTCCCATTATGGGTTTATGGATGAGTACCACTGGAAAGTCACATACTATGACGAAACAACTGTTCAATGTTTTGGAAAACTTGCTTAATATCATCTGAATATTACTCATTTACTTCTATTCTTTGACTCGCGTATATACATATATATATCACATTTTGACAATGATACATTTATTGTTCACTTCTTCCACTTCCTTCAGTCTTCATCTATCTATTCACATATTGATTCGGATTCAACTGTTAATGAACTATCACAGTTCCACTTGGATAGATTCAATTCAACTTTATCTCCTACAACACTATCTGATTATTCAGGAATGGGTAAAAATATTTTAAATTCTTTACAAAATAACAATAATAACAATATGAATAATAGAAAAGAAATTTTACGTGATCTTTCACAGCCAACTAGTTTGTCATATGCTGCCAACTCAATCTATCCATTTATGATTAAACCAGATGATCTTGTCAGTTTACCTTTGATAGGAAATCAAGGTAAGCAATTATATGCATAACATATTTATAAAGTTGAATAATTCTTTTATAAAGCAACAAAAAGAAAGAAAGACTAACTCAAAAAGAAGCTTTTTTATCAGTATAAATTCTCTAGTCGACTGCCCTCATATATAATCATCAACTTACTTAATAACTTACTTACGCCTAATACCCCTCGTGGAGGAGCATAGGCCGCCCACCAGCATTCTCCATCCAACCCTGTCCTGGGAAATTCTCTCCAGTTCTTTCCACTTGTTATCCATCCATTTCATATCTGCTTCCAATCATCGACTTAACACGCGTTATCGAATAACAGAATTAAGTCAAATAAGAGGATGAGTTTTGAATACTTATATTTTATACAATCGTTGATCTAGACAGACGATCAAAAAAACGAAGCGAAGAATGCGAAGAGGAGAGAGAGAAACGAAACAAAATGATGCGCCATGTAGAAGTTGACTGAGCCAACTCGATCAAGCGTGACTCGATATTAATAGTCAAACAAAAATAAGCTATAGACACATAATGAATAGGGTAAGCAATTAACACACATGTGATCATATAAAATATAGTCAAGCTTAATAAGCGAATGAGTGACAAGGTCAAAATGTGACTTGAGAAGAATGAAGAAATCGGTCTGTTCAAAAGCTAGAATATTTTTATTTTATTTCAACACAAATATTGGTACAAGGATGCACCAAATACATGTGCGCCGCACAAATCTCTTTTGATTTGTGTGTGGGCTATGATACTGCCCGGGTGCCCAAACTGAAACAGGTGGTTTTCTTAGGGGGCCACACCCAGAGCCTTAGACCTAAAGGTCTGATCCACAAGGCAGTGGTGCATCGTGAGGAGATGCAGTCCCGTGGTAGCCGGTGACCACAGCTAGAATAACCTTATGTGGGCTTGACATAGTAGCAGACAGTACAATACTAATTTGTTTTACTTACTCGATGGTAAATCAGTAATTGAATCATTAACTGATCATAACTTAACGCTGAATATCAATGTAATAATGGTAATATGACTTATGGTTCCATTCTAAATTACTTAAACTAATATAAATCGTTAAGTAAAGAGTATTTCTTATTTAAAATAAGCCGTTGTTATATCGATAGTTAGATCGCGAACTACTTTTCGTTAAAACACCACTGAAAACCAAAATGTACTGGACAGTTGTTTCGTCATAGTATTTGATTCCTCATCTATGTCCATTTACGACCCAAACTCCAAGAATCGAATATGAGATTTTCGTTCTTGCCTATGAATGTTTTACTTTTACACCGCTGATCCATGAAATGAACTTGGAGGATTTTACTACCTCTACAAACTTCATGACTTAGTGACATGGAAGTTAAGCGTTCTCAGCGAGAAGTAGGCTCTTAGGTACTATTCTCTATGGTGGGATGGTGGATACTCACCGATTAAGATGAAACTACTATCTAGTGCTCCCTAGTTCTTCAATATTGGTTTAGTTAAAACCAGTTCATAATTTAATTACAATTTAACCTTATTTCTAACAAAACCCAACGTACTACTGATAGTACTTATAATAATTGTCAAAGATGCCAAAAAAAAATATGTTAATACTATAGTGAACAGAACACTATTTGGGGACAATCTAATGTATTTAAGCAAACATTACAGATTATCTCGGTAAATTCTGATAACCAAACAATGAACAGTCAATTTGCAAATTGACAAGCAATTGTTTCAATCTTCACTGTTTCTTCTCTAATTCCATTGCTCATGCATTTTCCAAACGATTGCGCTTCATTTCAGTTCTTTGCTCATCGGTCTTCTGCCAAAATACATTCTATGTCTGACCCACACCATATATTACTTATATAGATATAAGTAGACAACACCACAATACTTGGATGACTAAACTGGCAGAGTTAAAAGTCTTATTAAGTAGTATTGAAATAGTAACACTAGGTATTCTAAATCTACATGAAAAATGAAAATTCGATCAAAATAAACGTTGAAATCTTTAGTGTGACTGATCAAAAGAAAAAGGGAAAGATGATGGGTCCGACAAATAGATTTTTAAATATTTTGAAAAAGATGAAATAAAATGGAGGATAGAACAAGAGTGATTCAATCACCACGGAAAGGGTGTTAGTCAAAGCACATAATCTTTTTGTCTGCATAATTGAGGTTCAGACATCAAGTGTCATTTGCTTAAGTGTGACTTAAACATTCACTAATACTTTGTCTAGTAATCAATCAGAAGCCAGTCTTAATATTTACTGAATGACTAGTGTGCGCAATTTGTTGTCATTTGGCACTTCTGGGTAAGTTCACTGTTCTGCAAAGGTTACAAACAAAGCTACATTTATATAGTAGTTTATTTATTTATACAGATCATTGAGTATGAGGATGATTTAGAAAACATGAAATGAAAGTAATTTACATCATCCCACAAGTTATTCGAATATGAAGCTTCATTTAAAACTTATTCATCACAATATACTACTTAAAAGTACTTCAAAAAGTTCAATTAAGAAACAAAATGGGACAGAAAACCTACTTGTTTAGGTTCTTAAAAGCAGTTTTCACAAACTTCTTCAGAGAATTAAAGTTATGTAATTTGGTATGATTAGAATCGGCCTCCAAATGCTCTGTTACGGCCGAGAGTGAGGAGAGTCCGCTCTCCCTCTTCAAATGCTCTCACATGGCCACGCGTATACAACCTCTGTCAGGGAAGTCCTACTCACTGCCTTCTCGTGGCACCGGTGTTGTTTACGTAAGTGAGAGAACGAAAAGCGAATGTCCGGCGCTTTGACCGGGTTGGTGGACACGGCGAGTCCACCTAGGGGAGTTGGAAAACCCGATACCAAACCATTGGTGCACATGGGCTCCAGTATCCTGAGGGAACAAATGACGTATGAATCAAACGCTGGTCAACGGCTACCATGGGACTGCATCTCCTTACGATGTCCCACTGCCTTGTGGATCAGACCTTTATGTCAAAGGCTACAGGTGTGGCCCTCTAAGAAAACCACCTGCTTCGGTCTGGGCATCCAGGCAGTATCACAGCCCTCACACAAATCGAATGAGATTTGTGTGGCGCATATATATCTGGTGCGCTTTTGTATCACTATTTGTGTGTTGAAATAAATAAATATTAATAGAATCGTACTGAATGAATATAATATCAATTATTGAACTTGATTACTGAGTTTTATCTTATACATATTCACGTATTCAATGAATTTATGTTTGAATTTGGTGTATCTGAAACTGTAGTTTCGATTTTTGTGCTAACGTGTACTCTCGAGGAAAAAAGTGCACAAAAACCACAATCATCGATATTGAGCAACAATGAACAGGGTTCTATGAAGTATAATTAATTAAGTGAATGTATTTCATTTTCCTAATCAACTCATGATAAGTAATTTACTATTCATTAACCTAGTCTTATAAAAAGTGTACAAATAACCATTTTCCCAAGTTTTATTAATTATTCATAGTTTAAATGATAGTACATTCTGGTTAAACCTTTATAAATATAACAGTTGGGCTATTCGTCACTTTAGTTTTAATCACTAATGCAGTACCATGTAAATTAGAAACTGAGACTGTCCCACAGAAACTAACGTTACAATGATGAATCATCGCTAATTTGTTGTTGTTCTCTGAAATACTAGAATAAATTTTCTTTAATTTAAATAGAATAGAAAGCACTTGCCAAATACTTGATGACCAAGTTGAAACTAACTAAAGTGTCTCTTTTTCCTTCTATAAGTATAACCCCCTCTCTCCCACTCTCTCCCCTCCTCTCTCTCTCTGTTTGTGATATCAGTTCGTAATAGACCACCAAGTAGATAACACAATTTGCTTGATAGATAACAAAGTTTGGCCTTATCAACAATATGATATTTTAATTCTCTATCATTATTATTCATTTTCTTATTATATACAAATGACTAGTATTCAGTTAATTACTATGGTTAATGAATACTGTCTAAAAATTAGATTATTCTTTAGTTTGTTTACATGTAAATTAATATTAAAAGTGGGGCTACTGGCAGAGTCATTGATAATTAAGCTTACATATAATACTAAACATAACTAATAATAATAATATTCATATTACTCGGGTTACCCCTCTAAGTGTACCTTATCCATCCAACGAATATAAGAACATTAGTGAAGATTTGTAGCTGAGGTGGGTGATTTTGATAGAGAACAAAACTCCATCAAAACATTAGGATATAAGAAGTTTGTAAAAGACAGTATGAAAGTTCAGCTAATTAGGTTTTGTATATTCAATATATAGAGTCATAAGTAATGTAATTCCTTATTTGTTAAAGTAAATAAAATCCAAGTATCATGTAAATATAAGATAATTACAATGTTGAAACAGCTTCTTCTCCTTGTATAATCTTTAAATATCAATTTATACTCTAATGACTCGAAATGTAATTAGGTTAACCAAGTTCATATTAGCAGACTTATTGTGCTAAATAGTAATTATGTTTAAATTCAATTAGTATTGTTTGTTTGAATCTTTCCATTGATGTTTTAGGACTGCAATTGATTAGTCTTTTATTGGCCATATGTGAATACTGTGCATATTGCCTCGATATAGTCTCAATTCACAAGCATGGTAAGCAAAGATGGATAGTGGCTAGCAGTGGAATCCAGTTTGACGCGCGTTTCGTCCTATTCGGGACTCGTCGGCTGGATGTACCTGCATCTCAGAGTTGATGTTCACTCTGGTACTCGAACCCAGTAACTTTCTCTTCAAACGCCATCGCGTTAGGTTTATTTTTTTAAAATAATATTTGTTATAAATTATGGCCTTGTGCCCTAATAATGTATAACGTAATGACACCGCCCAATAGAGAACAGTAATTTATCGACCAGACCAATAACGCATAAAACCCATATGAGTAGTCTAAAGTCTTTTTCGGTTCTTCTTCCTACTTAGCTATGTCTGTTGAGTCTAGGACACGAATTTCAGCCTCCGCGATATGAATCATGTATTTTAAACATACTGGGTTTATATACAAACCAAACTGACCACATCATACCATAAAATAGAAATTAACATCCGTACAAGATTTAGCCGAAAGTGGTTGTGAATGTAGGAGATTGTAAATAATTTAGTAACTAATTACTTGACTACTTACTAGAAATCAAACTTTTTGTATAACAGCTACTATCCATTTGTTGTGTAATATTCTTTAAACTAATCATTCAGTGGTTAGAAAGTATATATTTTAACCACTGATTCACAGAAACATTACCTTGTCATTTGTATAATATCAGTAATGATTCAGGAATCTATTACCATTATAATGTACACCATATTACTAACAATAATGGCTTTTTTTCAAAGTTATGTCCCTAGTTAATTGAGGAATACTCCACAATAATATTTCAATAAAGTTCTCTTTTTCTTTATTTACATCAGAGAATACATACATATGAATAACAGTACTCAGTGATGACTTGATCTGATCTGTCCTCGATCATCATATTTAGTTATTTAAGCCACTAAACTACCTAAGGCATATGATAGAATATGAATTAAGTTAACAGTCTCACGTACTCCCTTTATTTTAATGACCAGTTAGTCAAGATATTCTCCTTTTAGCTAGACCTTTTCTGGGTATACATTTTGACTACTATCGATTAGCAATCAGCCAACTCTTCTTCAATTACTTCACTTGGGATAGCGGTGTCACGACTTTCATCTGGTCACATGAACTAAGGTTCGTATCCCTATCGCTTCTGCTATATGTAGGAGACGGGAAATGATGAAGGTGAACGATAGATCACTCGGAATGACTCGGCTTTATCTCTCGTATCCTCACTGTCAAGCACATGTGTCAACATTGAGTTACGTATTGTCTTTGTCTGGCAGTTTTCAAACTGCTGTTGACTCATTCGTTGGTTAGGTTGCCTGGCAGTACGCCCAGTATAGCTATCTCCACAGGAGCTGCTAAATTTATAGATGCACATTGAGGAGACAAACTCAGACAGCTTATCCTTTGTTTGAGTAGATGTCACTGGTCTACTAGAAAATGTCAACTCAAGTTTGGCTGCATAGAATATCTTACTAACTGCTCTTCCTAATCTTTCATGCTAGGTATCTCCAACTATATCGCCGTTGAACTGTAACTTTAGTAAAAGAAGTTTCTTAAGGGTGGTCAGTGTCTTCAACTTCTATTTTTCCCTGCATACATGCACTTTCTTAAAAACGTTCTCGGGCAACCGATCTCAGCCAGTATGTTATTCATAAACTCAAACTTTTTTTTATACTACCATCTGAGGAAATACTTTTGGCTCTGTTTGTGAGACGTCTAATTAGATTTATTTATCGTTTAGTGAATGATACATTCTCAATTAATCATTAGTTTTGTAACAAGCTACCATTCATCCACATTTCTTCAGTCATATAAATATTATTGATATAGATGTTTTCTGGAGATTTTCTGATCTTTCAGTCTGTACTACAAACTGATTTTAGTAAGAAATCTCCATTGAAAACCAGGAAACATTAGATAGTATAAGACTCTTCAATAATACATATCCACAACTCCTTAGGGAATCGAATCCAAACACATTTAATGATCTTAGGGAGCACTTAAAACTGTTGAATGGGTATTATACATCTCTATTTATTTACGTTTGTTTTATTTGGAACAATGGTGAGCGGCCTATGCTCCTCCACGAGGGGTAACAGGCGTAAGTAAGTAAGTTAGTAAGTAAGTATTTGGAACAAACTAATTAGTGACATGATTTTGATTAATTTAAACTCACAAATCTCTAATCATTTACTGATTTTCAAATTTCTCAAAGATCCTATTCAATATTCAATTCAATCAGGATTAATTACAAGTGATACAAATTCATTTTATACTACTGTACCACCACTTCGACATTTACAATATCCTTTCAATGGAAATCTACCTATGAATTCATTGGATCATAATGCTTTGAATCAACTAAAGATGTCTCTAAATCATCAATATAATGGTGAGACATTAATTCAGCAATCTGATCTAATAAAAAATCTTCAATTGTTTAATAGAAATCAAGGATTTTATGCATCCAATCCATTCAGTTATATTTCTACACCATTATCAACATATGCAGATAGTTTAACTGCTACATTGACACTACAACAATGGATAGAACATATGAGTAAACCGGATGTTGCTAAGAATAATGATATTAAACTATCCAAAGAAGGATATAAGAAAATAGATAGCAGATCAAATTTAAAACAATATGATTTACAGTTAAATAAAACTGAACAACAAAATTTATGTAATGAGAATAAACGACATCATAAAAGTCCAAGAGAAAATGTAAGTTTTGTATCTTTCTAACAAGTATATAACAATATATTTTAGAGTAATAAAGTATAGTAGGTAGTTGATTGGGATCATGAATCGAATGATCTTAGACCACCGTTGAAAGGAAACTTGGAAGCATTGGACGGCCGTTTCTTTCGATTGTGGGACTCTTCAGTAGCGCTCATCTACGGTCCCGCTCGCGGAATTCTATCTTGTGCTCGAACGCCTAACTTCCACACCTATGAGGCAATATACAGTGGTATTAATGTCTAACCCGAACCAATCCAAAAAATTGCACTAGCATCTTCCATTGTACTGAGGTGGATACCTGTCTCTACCTGACATGGGTGAGCTCCACTGGTCACGGCTTCTCACTAGAACTCCGAGAGCACATAGTAACTTGTTGTGGCGTAAATCTGATTTCGTCTATACTCGTATATAATAAATGACTTTATCCGCGTTAGTGAATAACGGAGTTAAATAAGTCAAATACGAGAATGGAATTAGGATACATATATTTTCTACAGTCATTGATCTGACCAGAGAATCAGAGTGATGAAGCGAATAAAAGCGAAAGAAGTGAAAGATAGGCTGGGAAGCCAACTCGATTTAAGCACGCGTTAATCAACATTTATAGTCGGACAAAAATGAATGACAGACATGCGATAGGTAGGATAAAAAGGGTACATACACATGCGCTCATATAACAAGGTAGTCAAGGTTAGTAAGCGAATAATTAACAAGATCAAAATATGACTCATAATGGATAGGCGAATTGGCTTGGCCAGCAACTAGAATAAAGTATATGGGCTTAGCATAAACACCGATACTACAAACTATCAGTATGGGGAGTTCCATAATAGAACGAAACAACCGTCCAGTGCTTCCAGGTTTCCTCTCAATGGTGGTCTAACATCATTCGATTCATGATCTCAATCAAAAAATTAATAATCTCCACAACCCTATACTGAGAGTAGATAATTATCATCCGTGTCCAATTACAGATTTTTCAGTAATCGTTAAAACTGAATATTATCATAAACAAGCAATTAGTTGACTTTTAATTTTAGTTAGTCTTTATCATATTCAGTTGAGTGATTTTTGCTGGTGTAGAACTAGGTAAGAAGAAAACTATGAAGAGGGAATAAATAAATACGTGACATTACTCCATGAATTTTCAAACTGTTCATCTCAGTCACTTTGGAACATGTACAGTGTCTGGTTGATGTCAGCATAATAATCTTAATCAGCGACTGGTGATGTTGAACGATTAAACTCAGTATCGAATAAAACGGAACATTTATACTCACACTTATTATTCTGAATGATGAATTGACGTTTAATTTCGAATACACCTTTTCATTATGTCTCTTCAATACATATTCTCAATATCTAGTTCTTCTTTTTATCAGCCTTATTACATTCTTTAAACTCCCTTTACTAGTCATCTTGTTAATTTCAGCTTTGTTTGCCGCACATTTATGCCAGGCTGTATGTTGATTATAACTGATATTGTTCATTCACTTTAGTTAAGGTAGTATGTCGTCATGAATAAACCATCTGTTTTTTCACCCGTCAACCGTTTTGGAGGTAAACATATCATTCATCACAGAAGAGAAGTTGACCCTCTTATTCAGTTGATAATTCAACATAATAATTATTAATGGGACTAATGAAATCGAATAACACAATTGGTTAAGTGCTCTAGCGCGAGACTGGTCGATCCTGGGTTCTAATCTCACGAGTGCGGGATCGTGGATGCGCACTGCTGAGGAGTCCCATAATAGAACGAAACGGCCATTCAGTGTTTCCAGGTTTTTCATGGTGTTCAAGCTTCAATTGACTTATGATTTCAACTATGAACAATAGAAGTTCATGTGAACTTCTATAATCTAAGATCAAGCAAATCTCTCTGACTATCTAGATTTTACTTCTTAATGTTACTAATAACTTTAATCTTAAATAAAACGTTTCGTTAGCCAACCATCTCATTTTTCTTCATTATTATTATTATTTTAGGCTTACCAAGAACTTATATGATTTATTGTTAACTTATTTCATAAAAATAAACCATTTGCACAAATGGTTATATTTGAGTTCGTTTCATTTATTTCATAAGTGGTTTAGAATTTCCTTCCGATTTACTAATTGAAACATGCACGCTCAATGAATTATCTTTTTTGATAACTTGCAATAGGAATCAGTAAACTTTTAAAATTTGATCAGTATAAAACATCCGTTATGAATGATTGTAAATTGCCTATGGTCAAATCCATCTTCAGTTTTGCCAAATCACTAGAGACCGTCTGATAAGTCTTATTGATTGAAAGCTTTATTCGGTTCCTAAGCTAGTCTCGCAACCCCCAAGCTAGAGCTATACAGCGAATTGAACAGGAGAGAAGAGGCAAAAAAATATGCGGGAAGCACTTTACTCCAAAGGTTCATTCATGTACAGAAAATATAGGGTATTTATAGTATTTAAAAAGTCCTTGGGTTTTCCTGAAAACTCTAGAATTCTACAAAACGTAGTAGCAATGTAGTAATCAACCAATCAGAATCTCTGCATGTGACTTTTCATTTTCGCGATTGACCTAAACGTAATTGAGGAACTTTTCAGTCCCAAAAGTATTTTATCAATGGTTATCGAAACATTACAATAGAGATATATGTCGTAGCTACCAGTTATACACTAAGTAAACATGAGTGGTTGAATCCATATACAACTGAAACTTTTATGCATACTTTTATACTACTTATATTAATTAAAGTAATCAAATATCATTTTCGTATTTTTCATTTCAGCTTAGTTCTAGTTTTGCTGACAGTGGAGTTGATCTTCCAAATACTAGTAATCTTGAATCAGATATTATAGAACATAATTTAAACAAAAATGATAGTCCAATAGAAATTAGTACAAGAATTTCAAATATAATACGACCTATAGAAAGAGTTTCATCAGGACCATGAATTAACCATCTACATTCAAATGGAATCTATCACAAACGAACCGATTCCAATCTCTTATCATTTATGTATTTATATTCAATTCATTTAGGTACTTGATTATGTAAATTTATTTTAATATTTATTTATACCTCAGAAAGAGGACTGTTCAATTCTTATATATATTCAATTGCATGAATAATTTCCTCTAATGAATTTTATTAAATTACATTATTTTTGAAGAAAAAAAATTAAATGCTCATTTGCTAAGTTATAAATGATGAATTTAAGTATTTGAGAATATACTACTGAGATAGATTATATTAGTAATATATAAGAAGTTACTCAAGACTAAAATAAATATGAAACGGGTTATCTGAAGTATTTTAAATTAAATCATTCTAGACGTTAGATAAATTATATTAGATCAGAAGGGGATTTGTGGAGATTTCAGTATATTTCAAAGTTGAAATCATGAGTGAATTGAAGCTAGACCACCATCGAAAACCTGGAAGCACTGGACGGCCGTTTCGTCTTATTATGGGACTCCTCAGCAGTGCGCATCCACGAACGCGCTCTCGCGAGCGAGATTCGAAGTTCAACCACGTCTGTTGTGAGATAACAACTCACTGAAGGCAATTGGTGAAGTGTCGCTCATAATTCGTGGATCAGTTGAAGTTAGACATTAACACCGTTGGATGCCAGCTCAGTGGTCTATCAATTAAGGGCTCTGGCTCGTAACTGGTAGGTCCTTGGTTCGAATCTCGCTCGCGAGAGCGGGTTCGTGGATGCGCACTGCTGAGGAGTCCCGTAATAGGACGAAACGGCCGTCCAGTGCTTCCATGTTTTCGATGGTGGTCTAGCTTCAATTGACTCATGATTTCAATTTTGAAATATATTAGATCAATTTGATGGATTAAAATCTTTCTTATTTGTGATCTAATCTCTTTTGTAACTAGATCTTAATTCAATCAGTCAGTGTACAGTGTAATTTTAAATCATTAATCTACTAGATCAAACTATCTACGGTATTGGTAACTGAGTAAAAAGAGAAGTCAAAGAACAAGTTGTTAATGTATGTTATTTTTCAAACACGGTCTAACTGTGTGTTAGAAGTATTAATCAATTCCTAAACAGCGTCAAATATGGTACAAAAATCTTATGTATTTATAAGTTTTTGGCTGAAATAAATCATCATTTCGGACAGCCAAAAGGCAAATAGGGGGTCATTCTTATCCATCTAATAGGTAAGCTATATGTTGACATTCTAGAATGTTCCTCTGGTGGTGATTGGATGGAATGTCTTCAACTCTTCCTGGGCTTCTTGAGGGTTCCTTGAGTTTGCCAATGAGACATCCTTACATTATATTAGTAATATATGAGAAGTTATTCAATACTAAAATAAACATAAAACGAGTCATCTGAAGTATTTTAAATTAAATTATTCTAGACATTAGACAAATTATAGTAAATCAATTTGATGGATCAAAATATTTCTTATTTATGATCCAATCTCTTTTGTAACTAGATCTTAATCTGATGAGTAATTGTATCGTGTAACTTCAAATGGTTGAAAGCGTGAGTAAATTGAAGCTAGACCATCAGGGAAAACCTGGAAGCAATGGACTACGGTTTCGTCCTATTGTGGGACTCCTCAGCAGCGCGCATCCAACGTTATTAATGTCTAACTCTAACTAATCCACCACGTTGAGAGACCGTTCACCAATTGTCTTCAGTTGGAGTTAGACATAAACATCGTGTGATGCCGACTCAGTAGTCTAAAGTGTAAGTGATCTAGCGCGAGACTGGTAGGTCCTGGGTTCGAATCTCGTGGGGCGAGATCGTGGATGCGCACTGCTGAGTAGTCCCACAATAGGACTAAACGCCCATCCAGTGCTTCCAGGTTTTCAAGAGTAGTTTAGCTTCAATTGACTCATGCTTTCAACTATCAAAATACTAAATCTCCACAGAAATTAACCCTTCTGATAATAACTTCAAATAATAAAATCTACTAGATCAGACTTTCTAAGATGCTAGAAACAGCGTAAAAAGAAAAGTCGAAAAACAAGTTGGCAATGTATGTTGTTTCTCAAGCACGGTGTTACTGTGTATTAGAGGTATTAACCAATTCTTGTATAATTGTTGTGTGAATATATATAGTCTACAGAGGTTAATTTCTTTATATCTGACTCCAATAAATAATTAAAAATGAGTATTTACGCAGGCTAAATCTCCTAATAGTACTATGAATCTACTCGAGATCATTCAAAAGCTAGAACACCAGTTATAGAGACAGTATATTGTTCAAACTTTTAAAAAATCCACAACCGCGCAGAAAGCAAGGATACAGGAAAACCAAAGAGAGTATATGAGTATGATTGTAAAAACTCCACTTATATTTATAAGTATTAATCGATTGTGGATAATTTATTGATTGTTTGTGTTTACAATCAATGAAAGGATAGATAAAGATTCATGTGCAAATGTGCGCTTAATGAGACTCACACATAATTTTACATAGTGAGTTTAAATATATCAGTTACAGCAAGTAGACTAATAATGAAATAGGGTGGTTCTCTGTGGAGATTTTAATTAATTTTCATATATAGTTGGAATCATGAGTCAATTCAAACTAGACCACCGTAGAAAACCTGGAAGCACTGGACGGCCGTTTTGTCTTATTGTGAGACTCTTCAGCAGTGCGCATTCACGATCCCGCCTGAGTACGAACCTCGCGAGGCGGGATGGTGGATGAGCACCGCTGAAGTGTCTCACAATAAGACGAAACGGCCGTCCAGTGATTCCAGGTTTTCTACGGTGGTCTAGTTTGAATTGACTCATGATTCCAACTATATATGAAAATAATGAAATAGTTTAATGGGCTTACTACAAGTCCACAGATTGAATACAATAAAGTATTTATATAGACGCATAAACAGATACTTATAAATTAAAGATGTATTGAGTTAGAAGTTCATAATTAGCCATAAGAAAAATATATGGAATGACCAATAAGATGACATGCCATATGATGGTCTAACTTTCCAATTGCTCACCAAAGTAAAGGATTGTACAATTTGTCACGTAGGTCTAATATAGTTTACTTGCAAGTTTCTTTACCATCAGATTGTATGTTTCAATGACAGTAAGATTTACAAGGGGTAAAAGCAATTAATATATTTTTAACTTTAAACAAATTTGGTCCACCGTTCTCTTATATAATTCTTGCTTACTTACGTCTGTTTCCCCCAGTGGAGCATAGGCTACTAACCAGCATTCTCCAACTCACTCACTCTGTCATCTGCCTCCCTTTCTAGTTCTCTCAGGTTGTTATTCATTCTTTTCATATCTAATTCCATTTCTCGGCGTAATGTGTTCTTTGATCTTTCTCTTCTCCTTCGGCCTTGAGGTGTCCAAGTAAGGGCTTACCTTATGTTGAACTTGAATGTTTTCCTCACTGTGTGTCCTATCCATTTCCAGCGTTTCTTCCTCATTTCTTATTACTGTATTTATTACTGTAGATCTACTTTTTAAGTTTGATGAGTAAAGTCAAACTAGCCTTACTAACGCCTTTTCACCCTCGTTGAGGAGACTAGGAACACCACTAACTTTCTCTATACAATTATGTCCTGAACAATCCTTTCCAGTTTGTATTCAGCCTTCTTGTTATAAACTTAAAAGAGAGGATGCTAGTTATAACGCTGGGGGTTCTTGTTATAACAGTCCTTTTACTTCTTCCACGTATGTGGGACCTTAATTATCTTAGACGAATATCTACACTAGATTCCCACCCAGTGTCTATTCTACAGGACTTCAACTGAACTCAGATCAAGAACACAAGATTAGCCTGACTATAACGTCAATTTATTTCCACACCAAAATCCGACACAAAGAACAGTCAATCAATAAGTGTCCATCAACAAGGAACAGTCAATACATAATAAGGATAGGGAATATATATATAACACATAACACCTGTCATTCTATCTAATGTCTGACTCATCGAGAGAACCAATCATTGTCATTCTCGCCAAACACATAACTTCTCATATCTGATTATGATTCTCAACGCAAAGTGTTCTTTAGTCTTGCACTTTTCCGTTTCCCATAAGATTCTTAGTTAGGTCTTGCTTCATGATGCACAATGTAGGTCCCACCTACCTAGAGCGTCTAGTCCGAATTTCTTATTCAGATGGAAGTTGATTTCTTCTCTCCTACAGTTGGTCGTTCCTGGTAATATTTGGCCAACGGACATAGAGCATTTTACTCAGACAATGGTTGATAAAGAGTTGTACTTTTTTGACGATGGTTGTAATTGTTCTCTAGGTTTCAGCTCCGTACAGCAGAACTAATTATACTTATAAGGTTTAGTTTTAGGAGTTGAGTTTAGGGCAGATGTTAGTACATTTGGATTTTCTTTAATCCTCTTGTCTTCTGACTTATTTTTATGCATTGTTTTATACTATTTGTTAAAATTCAGTAAACAGTTTTCTTTATAACAATTTCTGGATGCATGATGAGAAGCGCGTTCGCTGATTGAATTATTCATATAAATTAATAACCTTTACTATAATTAATATCAAAATTAATTTATCTCGAACCTTGTAATAGTTATTTTCGGTCTTGTACTTACTGTGGATCTATATTTTAATCTGATATCTTCCATACATGTGTGCTGTTAGTTTCTATTTCGTTTATTGATAAAATGTCGTTAGCATTACACATTGCTATTGAAGCGTGTGATAATGATGTCGATCGATATAAGTAGTACGTATCACCAATCGAAATTTTAGTGCCTGGAGGCAAAAGGTGAAGAAGATCGAGGGAAAGAGAGCGAGAACAGAGATTTATTGGTGTAAAAGTGACAGAACAATGAAGTCTAAAACGATTGATTTATATTTTGTAGAAAGAAGAGTCAAGTTTGAGACGATTGACTAACATTTTGCAAGTGAAGTATTTGCCGTATGGTTCTCAGATTTTTCTAAGAGGTTCTGTAATTTTGTGCTCAAGTTCATTTGGTTGTT